CATCAGCAAACTATCTAGTTTGCGATACCACAATATAACTAACCAACGCCATTTCATTAGTAATTACTAGTTAGCCAACCCCTTCCTAAGGAAATCCACCTGTAAAGAGTGCAAGTTTGCGGGAATGCCCCCCCCCGGCTAGCGACTAGGTAGCTAGCTAACGCGTTAGCTCGCGACCACACACCAGCCAATCGCTACAGTGATATAACGAGTGTCGTTAGCAGACTTCACTTACCATAAAATGGTGTCGAATTAGTTTCTCATTTGATATATAGTCCGAAAATTGTTAAATCCACGAACGTTTTAAACGGTATAAATTCGCTGGCCGACAACGTTTGTTTCCTCCAAGCATCCACTCAAAGTACACCTAGCTAGCTGGCTAGCTAACCAGTCAAACGCATTCTTTCGCGAGACCAATCCCCTAAAAAGTTGTTTATTGTTCCGAGTTTGCGTCTCGCTGAAAAACAGTGTCCAGTGTGTCAGACAATAAATAAACAAAAAGCGATTACTAAAATAAACGGGGGACATAAAATTATTCGTTTTGATACTAGCTATATTTGGGTAAAAATATAAAAACGAACATTAAAACTAAGAAGGAATCCAAAATGTCCACAACAGCCAAGGAAATACAAAAGGCAAAAGCAAAAAATCCACAACCGCCAAAACAGAATCCTTTCGTCTGAAGAACGCCGCACGCCAATGTTTTCAATCCTAATCTCTTGTTATTTTTGTCATTCAAAAATGTATGCATACATCTTGTTTGTAGCAAGAACACACAATTCACGATGAAACACAGAGTTGGCCAGTCTAACGAGCCAACGCCAGTGTATGCGGCTGTATCGTTGGCCCAGTCAGTCAATCCAGTGCGGCGACAACCCTGCATCTGAGCGCATACCTGATGGGCATGTTAATATAACCAATGAAAATGGTGTATCAGTCGTTAGTAAATTATGTTCACCAATGCGGTTTGTGGAGAGGTAGGACATATTTTACAGTTGATTATTTGCTGCTATGTTGATACTCACAATTATTTGGAACGTTATTTTAACAACCGAAAACTATTATTTGGAAAACAATTTGGTATTGTGTGAACAATACTTGTCTTAGGTCCAGTGAGAGACATGGCAAAGGGCATATTCACTCACACAGTGGGAGAATCTCAATTGGATACTCCTCGTGTCCTCTCTCCTCAGCTCCTTCTCAAAACCCATTGGAGGAGAAAGTCAGAGGGTAGGGACCTCTGGCTTTCTCATCCAATGGGTTCTGAGAAAGAGGTGCGGAGAGGACACAAGAAGAATGCAATTGAGATTCTTCCGAGAGTGAAGCGATGGTTGTGATGGAACGTCAAGTAAAGTGATGGTGGTGATGGAATGTCACTATAATAACTTGATGCATGATCTAGATTTTCCTCCCTTCCTTGATGTAATCACTGATACCATTTGAATAGATTGAAGTAATGATCCACTGCATAGCTTTCATCAATCATTTATAGGGTCAGATCAGTGATTGCTTCAAGGTAGCTTAGTGAGTAAGAGCGTTGTGCTAGCAACCGAAAGGTCGCTGGTTCTAATCCCTTAGCCGACTAGGTGAAAAATCAGTCGATGTGCACGTAACCCTAATTGCTCCTGTAAGTCGCTCTGGATAAGAGTGTCTGCTAAATGACTAAAATGTAAGGGAGGAAATGAAAAATGATCTTGGGCTGCATTTAGACAGACAGCCCAATTCTGATATTTTTTTCCACTAATTGGTCTTTTGACCAATTACATCAGAACTTTTCACATCAGATATTTTACAGAGCTGATCTGATTGGTTAAAATTAGACCAATTAGTGAGAGAAAAAAAATCAGAATTGGGCTGCCTGTCTGAACACAGCCATATTGGAACAGGGCATTGTGAATAAATTATAATCTCCTTTTGTAGGGAAAATGCCCCCCCATGTAAAGCTGTCCCCCCCTGTGAAGATGAATTGGGGAATAAGGGTTGTTGTGACATGACATAACAATTCTGAGGCAGACACATCTATACATCAAATGTAGTCTACTAGACTAGTGCCTAGCAGGGCTGGGATCATCCTACACATTTGGTTAAATAAATATCTCCCAAATACAACAGAGAGATTGAAGACCATCAATGTAGCTACAAGTGCAATAGCATATACTGAATTTTAACGAATATGAACAGCATTTGAATGAATATGATTTATACATCACCTTGTGGGCAAATTCCATTTCAAGAGGAGATTCTGCCACGATGTTCCAGCCTAGCCAGAGAGTGGAAACCAATGGATTACATCTACCTCTGGACTGAAAAGCTTGCCCAATTGAGAATCTCAATTGAAGTGCTTTTTAGTCAAGGAATAGGCTTAATCTGCGTCCGGATCCTGGAAACTGGCCCAAATGTACAATGGTCAGTGTAATGTGATGATGTATGATGTTTTGTCTCCCCCTTGTGGACACTCAAATAAATAACAATTGAGGTTTGTCCGATAGTCTGACCAGTGAAAAGCCAAAAAGCAGGTTTGTTCTTTTATTAATTCACAAATCGTCGTAGTAATAGGCGTAGTAATAGGCATAGTAATGGAAAATGTAATTGTGATTAAAGTACTTTTCACTGAAAATATAACACAAGTATTGTCATCTTTTTGAGATCCTGTACCTTTTCACATTGACCAAGTAAAAATGATCATACTTTTGCAGTTGTCTTTTATGTTCCCAGCTTTGCCAGAATATATGACTATATATAGTCATCAAATACCAAGGTAGCACAGCATTTCTCACACAAAACAAACCCTTTCATGTGAAGGAACACTCCCACCTTACTACTATGGCACTCAAACAATAAACACAATTAAACATGGAATACAATAACAACTGGTACAGTGCATTCAGAAATTATTGATACCGTTTGACTTATTCCACATGCTGTTGCGTTACAGCCTGAATTCAAAATGGATTAAATATATGTTTTTCCTCACCCATCTACACACAATTCCCCATAATGACAAAGTGAAAACATGTTTTTAGAAATGTTTGCACATTTATTGAAAATGAAATACAAAAATATCGAATTTACATAAGTATTCACACCCCTGAGTCAATACTTTGTAGAAGCACCTTTGGTAGCAATCACAGCTGTGAGTCTTTCTGGGTAAGTCTCGAAGAGATTTTCACACCTGGATTGTGCAACATTTGCCCATTATTCTTAAAAAAATTATTCAAGCCCTGTCAAATAGGTTGTTGATCATTGCTAGACAACATTTTCAGGTCTTGCCATAGATTTTCAAGTAAATTTAAGTCAAAACGGTTACTCAGGAACATTCACTGTCTTGTTGGTAAGCAACTCCAGTGTCGATTTGGACTTGTGTTTTAGGTTATTGTCCTGCTGAAAGGTGAATTCATCTACCAGTGTCTGGTGGAAAGCGGACTGAACCAGGTTTTCTTCTAGGATTTTGCCTGTGCTTTTCTCCATTCCGTTTATTTTTTATCCTGAAAAACTCCCCAGTCATTAACAATTACAAGCATACCCATAACATGCAGCCACCACCATGCTTGAAAATATGGAGAGTGGTGTTCAGTAACGTGTTGTATTGGATTTGCCCAAAACATAACAGTTTGTATTCAGGACGAAAAGATTATTGCTTTGCCACATTTTTTGCAGTATTACTTTAGTGCCTTGTTGCAAACATGATGCATGTTTTGGAATATTTTTTATTATGTGCAGGCTTCCTTCTTTTCACTCTGTCAATTTGGTTAGTATTGTGGAGTAACTACAATGTTGTTGATCCATCCTGTTTTCTCCTATCACAGCCATTAAACTCTGTAACTGTTTTAAGTCAACATTGGCCTCATGTTGAAATCCCTGAGTGGTTTCCTTCCTCTCCAGCAACTGAGTTAGGAAGGATGCCTGTATCTTTGTAGTGACTGGGTTTATTGATACACCATCCAAAGTGTAATTAATAACTTCACAATGCTCAAAGGGATATTCAATGTCTGCTTTCTTATTTTTTACCCATCTACCAATAGGTGCCCTTCTTTTCGAGGCATTGGAAAACCTCCCTGGTCTTTGTGGTTGAATCTGTGTTTGAAATGCACTGCTCGACTGAGGGACCTTACAGATAATTGTATGTGTGGGGTACAGAGATGAGGTAGTCATTCAAAATTCATGTTAAACACTATTATTGCACACAGAGTGAGTCCATGCAACTTATTATTACATTTACATTTACGTCATTTAGCAGACGCTCTTATCCAGAGCGACTTACAAATTGGTGCATTCACCTTATGATAGCCAGTATTATGTCACTTGTAAAGCACATTTTTACTCCTGAACTTATTTAGGCTTGCCATACCAAAGAGGTTGAATACTTATTGAATCAAGACATTTAATATTTTCATTTTTAATTAATTTGTAAAACTTTTGAAAAACATAATTCCACTTTGACATTATGGGGTATTGTGTGTAGGCCAGTGTCAAAGAAATCTAAATTGAATCCATTTTAAATTCAGGCTGTAACACAACAAAATGTGGAAAAAGTCAAGGGGTGTGTATCCTTTCTGAAGGCATGTATATAAACTGTACAAAAAGCTAAAATTATTGTCATCATATTGTCAGTATGAAGGAAGTTCAAGGTAGTTTCACGAGCCAATACTAACTAGCGTTAGCACAGTGACTGGAAGTCTATGGGTATCTGCTAGCATGAAAAACATAGATTTCATCTCGTATGCTAGCAGATACCCATAGACTTCCAGTTATTGCGCTAACGCTAGTTGGCATTGGCTCGCAAAACTACATCGAACTTCCTTCATAATGGACACAGAGACATAAAAATGGTATCCACGAGTTCATCTGACTCTGAGGAAGTATATAAAGGGCCTCTTTGCCCAAATCCCAAAGTATCCCTTTCATGTGGAGTGAGAGGGGGGTCAGAGACGACCATTCAGTGTTCCCTCAGCTTTGGCCAATCCCTTGCATTGAAAGAAGGCATCCTGGCAAGGATCACGACCCAGGAAGGTCTTCAGCATGTCCTTCCCATCCACAGAGCCACCAGCCTCCAGAATCACCCTCCTGTACTCCTTCCCCACCTGATGATAAGATGGGCATACAGAACATGTCAGTCAAACTTTAAGGCTTAAATTCAAGTAAATTCCTCTCGACATAGAGTATTTGGGTACATAAGAGTAGAGCATGATAAATGGTGCAATATTACTCACACAAAAGGTAGCATTCAAAGATGCTTGCCAATCAAATGGAACTTGAAGGCTTAAATTATTTATTTATAAAATGTATACAGTGCCTTGCAAAAGTATTCATCCCCCTTGGCGTTTTTCCTATTTTGTTGCATTACAACCTGTGATTTAAATTGATTTTTATTTGGATTTAATGTAATGGACATACACAAAATAGTCCAAATTGGTGAAGTGGAATGAAAAAAACAACTTGGTGCATGCGTGCATATGTATTCACCCCCTTTGCTATGTAGCCCCTAAATAAGATCTGGTGCAACCAATTACCTTCAGAAGTCACATAATTAGTTAAATAAAGTCCACCTGTGTGCAATATAAGTGTCACATGATCTGTCACATGATCTCAGTCTATATACACATCTGTTCTGAAAGGCCCCAGAGTCTGCAACACCACTAAGCAAGGGGCACCACCAAGCAAGCGGCACCATGAAGACCAAGGAGCTCTCCAAACAGGTCAGGGACAAAGTTGTGGAGAAGTACAGGTCAGGGTTTAACATCCCACGGAGCTCCATTAAATCCATTAATAAAATAGAAAGAATATGGCACCACAACAAAGAGGGACGCCCACCAAAACTCACGGACCAGGCAAGGAGGACATTAATCAGAGAGGCAACAAAGAGACCAAAGATAACCCTGAAGGAGCTGCAAAGCGCCACAGCAGAGATTGGAGTATCTGTCCATAGGACCACTTTAAGCCGTACACTCCACAGAGCTGGGCTTTACGGAAGAGTGGCCAGAAAAAAGCCATTGCTTAAAGAAAAAAATAAGCAAACACGTTTGGTGTTCGCCAAAAGGCATGTGGGAGACTCCCCAAACATATGGAAGAAGGCACTCTGGTCAGATGAGACTAAAATTGAGCTTTTTGGCCATCAAGGAAAACGCTATGTCTGGCGCAAACCCAACACCTCTCATCACCCCGAGAACACCGTCCCCACAGTGAAGCATGGTGGTGGCAGCATCATGCTGTGGGGATGTTTTTCATCGGCATGGACTGGGAAACTGGTCAGAATTGAAGGAATGATGGATGGCGCTAAATACAGGGAAATTCTTGAGGGAAACCTGTTTCAGTCTTCCAGAGATTTGAGACTGGGATGGAGGTTCACCTTCCAGCAGGACAATGACCCTAAGCATACTGCTAAAGTAACACTCGAGTGGTTTAAGGGGAAACATTTAAATGTCTTGGAATGGCCTAGTCAAAGCCCAGATCTCAATCCAATTGAGAATATGTGGTATGACTTAAAGATTGCTGTACACCAGCAGAACCCATCCAACTTGAAGGAGCTGGAGCAGTTTTGCCTTGAAGAATGGGCAAAAATCCCAGTGGCTAGATGTGCCAAGCTTATAGAGACATACCCCAAGAGACATGCAGCTGTAATTGCTGCAAAAGGTGGCTCTACAAAGTATTGACTTTGGGGGGTGAATAGTTATGCACGATCAAGTTCTGTTGTTTTGTCTTATTTCTTGTTAAAAATACATATATATTTTGCATCTTCAAAGTGGTAGGCATGTTGTGTAAATCAAATGATACAAACCCCCAAAAAATCCATTTTAATTCCAGGTTATAAGGCAACAAAATAGGAAAAATGCCAAGGGGGGTGAATACTTTCGCAAGCCACTGTATGTTAACTCAAGATGAATGGGGAGTGGATTGATTGTGCCACACCTTGGGGTTCATGATTCCTTCCTTTTTGAAACGACTGAAGAAGATGTCCATGGAGTAGACCTCGCTCCACAGGTAGCCATAGTACTGGCCATCGTAGCCCCCAGCCAAGTGACTAAAACTGGCCGTCATATTTGTGCCTGGAGTAAAAAATAATCATGTTTTATTCTTTGAGAACAATAAATCCTTACGGGAGGAACATTTAAATATTTGAATTATAATGTCCATTCATATTCTAATTAAATGGCATTATATTATCACTGGTGTGAGACCTGGAGTAGCGGGGATCCCCAGGATGTCTTGGCAGTGCATGGCGAACACCTCGGCAGTGTCAGCGTGGGACTTGGTGTGCAGAGACTGGTCCACTTTACTGAGCACTACCTGACGCAGGTTCATCAGACCTGAACAAGACAGGCACATGAGTGGGAGTCTATTGGATGTCAAGTTATTTTATGGTATTTTAACAAATATTTTAGATTTGAAGGGAACAAAAATGCATGCTACCAAAGAATATGCACGCTATCCAATATACAGTGCATTCGGAAAGTATACCGACCACTTGACTTTTTCCACATTTTGTTACGTTTCAGCCTTATTCTAAAATGGATTAAATTGTTTTTTTACTCCTCATCAATCTACACACAATACCCCATAATGACAAAGTAAAACAGGTTTTTAGATATTTGTGCAAATTTACAAAACATATAAAATGTATATCACACTTACACAAGCATTCAGACCCTTTACTCAGTACTTTGTTGAAACACCTTTGGCAACGATTACAGCCTCAAGTCTTCTTGGGTATGTGGCTACAAGCTTGGCACACCTGTATTTGGGGAGTTTCTCCCATTCTTCTCTGCAGATCCTCTCAAGCTCTGTCAGGTTGGATGGGGAGCGTCGTTGCACAGCTATTTTCAGGTCTCTCCAGAGATGTTCGATCGGGTTCAAGTCCGGGCTCTGGCTGGGCCACTCAAGGACATTCAGAGACTTGTCCTGAAGCCACTCTTGCATTGTCTTGGCTGTGTGCTTAGGTTCGTTGTCCTGCTGGAAGGTGAACATTCGCCCCAGTCAGAGTTCCTGAGCGCTCTGGATCTCGCTGCAAATTTTTTGGTACCCTTCCCCAGATCTGTGCCTCGGCACAAACCTGTCTCGGAGCTCTACGGACAATTCCTTCGACCTAATGACTTGGTTTTTGCTCTGACATGCACTGTCAACTGTGGGACGTTATATAGACAGGTGAGTGCCTTTCCAAATCATGTCCAATAAATTGAATTTAACACAGGTGGACTCCAAGTTGCAGAAACATCTCAAGGATGATCAATGGAAACAGGATGCACCTGAGCTCAATTTCGAGTCTCATAGCAAAGGGTCTGAATACTTATGTAAATAAGGTATCTGTTTTTTATTTGTAATACATTTGCAAAACTTTATACAGTGAGGGAAAAAAGTATTTGATCCCCTGCTGATTTTGTACGTTTGCCCACTGACAAAGACATGATCAGTCTATAATTTTAATGGTAGGTTAATTTGAACAGTGAGAGACAGAATAACAACAAAACAATCCAGAAAAACGCATGTCAAAAATGTTATTAATTGATCTGCATTTTAATGAGGGAAATAAGTATTTGACCCCTCTGCAAAACATGACTTTGCAGATCTTCTCCAAGTCATTAAGGTTTCGAGGCTGACGTTTGGCAACTCGAACCTTCAGCTCCCTCCACAGATTTTCTATGGGATTAAGGTCTGGAGACTGGCTAGGCCACTCCAAGACTTGAATGTGCTTCTTCTTGACCCACTCCTTTGTTGCCTTGGCCGTGTGTTTTGGGTCATTGTCATGCTCCTTCCCTCAGCCATTTTCAATGCCCTGGCTGAGGGAAGGAGGTTCTCACCCAAGATTTGACGGTACATGGCCCCGTCCATCGTCCCTTTGATGCGGTGAAGTTGTCCTGTCCCCTTAGCAGAAAAACACCCCCAAAGCATAATGTTTCCACCTCCATGTTTGACGGTGGGGATGGTGTTCTTGGGGTCATAGGCAGCATTCCTCCTCCTCCAAACACGGCGAGTTGAGTTGATGCCAAAGAGCTCAATTTTGGTCTCATCTGACCACAACACTTTCAACCAGTTCTCCTCTGAATCATTCAGATGTTCATTGGCAAACTTCAGACGGCCCTGTATATGTGCATTCTTGAGCAGGGGGACCTTGCGGGCGCTGCAGGAATTCAGTCCTTCACGGCGTAGTGTTTTACCAATTGTTTTCTTGGTGACTATGGTTCCAGCTGCCTTGAGATCATTAACAAGATCCTCCCGTGTAGTTCTGGGCTGATTCCTCACCGTTCTCATGATCATTGCAAATCCACGAGGTGAGATCTTGCATGGAGCCCCAGGCCGAGGGAGATTGACAGTTCTTTTGTGTTTCTTCCATTTGCGAATAATCGCACCAACTGTTGTCATCTTCTCACCAAACTACTTGGCGATGGTCTTGTAACCCATTCCAGCCTTGTGTAGGTCTACAATCTTGTCCCTGACATCCTTGGAGAGCTCTTTGGTCTTGGCCATGGTGGAGAGTTTGGAATCTGATTGATTGCTTCTGTGGACAGGTGTCTTTTATACAGGTAACAAGCTGAGATTAGGAGCACTCCCTTTAAGAGTGTGCTCCTAATCTCAGCTCGTTACCTGTATAAAATACACCTGGGAGCCAGAAATCTTTCTGATTGAGAGTGGTTCAAATACTTATTTCCCTCATTAAAATGCAAATCAATTCATAAAATTTTTGACATGCGTTTTTCTGGATTTTGTTGTTGTTATTCTGTCTCTCACTGTTCAAATAAACCTACCATTAAAATTATAGACTGATCATTTCTTTGTCAGTGGGCAAACGTACAAAATCAGCAGGGGATCAAATACTTTTTCCCCTCACTGTAAAAACCAGATTTTGCTTTATTATGGGGTATCGTGTGTAGATTGAGGGAAAAAAAACAATTTAATCAAATTTAGAATAAGGCTGTAACGTAACAAAATGTGGAAAAAGTCAAAGGGTCTGAAGACTTTCCTAAGGCACAATATACAGTACCAGTCAAAAGTTTTTCTTTATTTTTACTACTTTTAACTAGGCTGGTTGTATGTTTTATATACAGTACCAGTCAAATGTTTGGACACACCTACTCATTCCAGGGCGTTTCTTTATTGTCTATATTGTAGAATAATAGTGAAGACATCAAAACTATGAAATAACACATATGGAATCATGTAGTAACCAAAAAAGTGTTAAACAAATCAAAATATATGTTATATTTGAGATTCTTCAAATAGCCACCCTTTGCCTTGATAACAGCTTTGCACACTCTTGGCATGCTCTCAACCAGCTTTATGAGGTAGTCACCTGGAATGCATTTCAATTAACAAGTGTGCCTTCTTAAAAGATAATTTGTGGAATTTCTTTCCTTCTTAATGCGTTTCAGCCAATCAGTTGTGTTGTGACAAGGTATACAGAAGATAGCCCTATTTGGTAAAAGACCAAGTCCATATTATGGCAAGAATAGCTCAAATAAGTAAAGAGAAACGACAGTCCATTATTACTTTAAGACATTAAGGTCAGTCAATACGGAACATTTCAAGAACTTTGAAAGTTTCTTCAAGTGCAGTCGCAAAAACCATTAAGCGCTATGATGAAACTGGCTCTCATGAGGACCGCCACAGGAATGGAAGACCCAGAGTTACCTCTGCTGCAGAGGATAAGTTCATTAGAATTACCAGCCTCAGAAATTGCAGCCCAAATAAATATTTTACAGAGTTCAAGTCACAGACACATCTCAACATCAACTGTTCAGAGGGGACTGTGTGAATCAGGCCTTCATGGTCGAATTGCTGCAAATAAACCACTACTAAAGGACACCAATAAGAAGAAGAGACCTGCTCGGGCAAAGAAACACGAGCAATGGACATGAGACCGGTGGAAATTTATCGTTTGGTCTGGAGTCCAAATTTGAATTTTTTTGTGAGACGCGGTGTGGGTGAACAGATGATCTCCGCATGTGTAGTTCACACCGTAAAGCATGGAGGAGGAGCTGTTATGGTATGGGGGTGCTTTGCTGGTGACACTGTCTGTGATTTATTTAGAATTCAAGACACACTTAACCAGCATGGTGACCACAGCATTCTGCAGCGATACGCCATCCCATCTGGTTTGGGCTTAGTGGGACTATCATTTGTTTTTCAACAGGACGACCTGGCCTCCACAATCCCCTGACTTCAACCCAATTGAGACGGTTTGGGATGAGTCGGACGGCAGAGTGAAGGAAAAGCAGCCAACAAGTGCTCAGCATATGTGGGAAACTCCATCAAGACTGTTGGAAAAGCATTCCAGGTTACCACCTCATGAAACTGGTTGAGAGAATGCCAAGAGTGTGCAAAGCTATCATCAAGGCAAAGGGTGGCTACTTTGAAGAATCTAAAATATATTTTGATTTGTTTAACACTTTTTTGGTTACTACATGATTCCATATGTGTTATTTCATAGTTTTGATTACTTCACTATTATTCTATTATGTAGAAAAAAGTAAAAATAAAGAAAAACCCTTGAATGAGTAGGTGTGTCCAAACCTTTGACTGGTACTATATATATATATATATATATATATATAGGAATGTGATGAAAGAAATAAAAGCTGAAATAAATCATTCTCTCTACTATTATTCGGACATTTCACATTCTTAAAATAAAGTGGTTATTGTCCATTTGGAAGACCCATTTGCGACCAAGCTTTAACTTCCTGACTGTTGTCTTGAGATGTTGCTTCAATATATCCACATAATTTTCCTTCCTCATGATGCCATCTATTTTGTGAAGGGCACCAGTCCCTCCTGCAGCAAAGCACCCCCACAGCATGATGCTGCCACCCCCGTGCTTCACAGTTGGGATGGTGTTCTTCGGCTTGCAAGGCCCCCCCCTTTTTTCCTCCAAACGTAACGATGGTCATTATGGCCAAACAGTTCTATTTTTGTTTCATCAGACCAGAGGAAATTTCTCCAAAAAGTACGATCTTTGTCCCCATGTGCAGTTGCAAACCTTAGTCTGCCTTTTTTATGGCGGTTTTGGAGCAGTGGCTTCTTCCTTGCTGATCGGCCTTTCAGGTTATGTCAATATAGGACTCGTTTTACTGTGGATATAGATACTTTTGTACCTGTTTCCTCCAGCATCTTCACAAGGTCCTTTGCTGTTGTTCTGGGATTGATCTGCACTTTTCGCACCAAAGTACGTTCATCTCTAGGAGACAGAACGCGTCTCCTTCCTGAGCGGTATGACGGCTGCGTGGTCCCATGGCGTTTATACTTGCGTACTATTGTTTGTACAGATGAACGTGGTACCTTCAGGCATTTGGAAATTGCTCCCAAGGATGAACCAGACTTGTGGAGGTCTACAATTTTTTTCTGAGGTCTTGGCTGATTTCTTTTGATTTTCCCATGATGTCAAGCAAAGAGGCACTGAGTTTGAAGGTAGGTCTTGAAATTCATCCACAGGTACACCTCCAATTGTCTCAAATTATGTCAATTAGCCTATCAGAAGCTTCTAAAGCCATGACATAATTTTCTTGTGTCATGCACAAAGTAGATGTCCTAACCGACTTGCCAAAACTATAGTTTGCTAACAACAAATTTGTGGAGTGGTTGAAAAACGAGTTGTATTGACTACAACCTAAGTGTATGTAGACTTCCAACTTCAACTATATATATATATATATATATATATATATATATATATATATATATATATATATATATATCCAGTAGGATAGATCCAATAGGATAGATGCACTACTCACTTCTTAGTTACCTTATTACAGTGTATGTGTGACCTCTGACCTGTGTTGGCGACTCGGGAGGCGATGAGTTTGTTGAGCAAGTTGTCGGGGATGGGGCTGCCGTCTTTGTAGTGGCGAGACATCCTCCTCAGGGGCTCCTTCTCCCATACCCAGTTCTCCAGCATCTGAGATGGCACCTCCACAAAGTCCGTCTCCACCAGGGTCCCACTGAACTCTGAGAACATTGTCTAGGGAAGGAGTCATGGAGATCAGAATACACGTTACCACTTCAGGACCATACTGGTGATAATTTCATCAAGGCTAGTGTTTAGTGTGCACCCCATGAAATGGGTGTGCGCTTGACTTCAAAATGTATGCTACTGGTATGCTACTGAATATCCTCCCCAGCAGACAAGCCTACCCTAGAGCAGAGCTCGTGCATGACGTGGCCAAACTCGTGGAAGAAGGTCTCCACCTCGTGGTGCTGCAACAGAGCGGGCCAGCCTTTCGTAGGCTTGGTGAAGTTGGCCACCATAGCCGCCACCGGCAGCATACGTTTCCCATCAGGCCCCAGGCAGCCCGGCTGGAGCCCAAAGCAGGCAGCATGACCGTACTTCCCTTCTCTGGAGAGAGGACACAAGGTAAATGACTCAACATCAAGCACGGTATGAATCACACTCTGAACCTTCAAATTTGCCACAATAGTATGCTATGGTAGCTTCAACGAGAGCAACTATCCCTGCATCCCTACCAGGAGTGTACAACTATAGCCCCGATAGCACCCCACAGTCCTGCTGATGTTCATATTTCCCTGGCCTTTCACCTGGGATGGAGGTCCAAGTAGAACCAGCCGATCTCCTCCCCAGTGGCCGTGTCCAGTACAGAATAGAGGCTGACGTTGTCGTGCCACACATGGGCGCTGTTTTCCCGCTTAAAGGTGAGGCCCAGCAGTTGCTGGTAGATACTGAGCAACCCCTCCGTCACCACCTCCAGAGGGAAGTACTCGATTAGCTTGTCCTTGTCTACAGCAAACTTCACCTGCTCCACCTGGTTCATGTAGTAGGGCATGTCCCAGGCATTGATCTGTCCATCGAAGGCCTTGCCCCGCATGGCGCATTCCCTCTTCTTCAGGGCCAGGATATACTTCCTTTCCTTGATTCCCACCGGCTTCAGTTTCGCGTAGAACTCATCTGTGAAGTAGGGGACATGGAAATTATATCAAAATGGAGTGAATGACACCTCACCTCAATTTCAATAAGCGTTTTCTTTATTTTATTTTTTGTCAGTGCTAGAGAAGTTATTGAAGCACACAATTTGAATAACAGAGGCAGCTGACTGAGCAACATTTTTCAGATCTGACTATTGGTAAGGCATTACCTATTTATTATAGGTAATATCTATATCTGAATACTGTGTAATAAAGTTCTACATTGATTTATTGATATTTGTCAGGCATACAGAAAACTGATAGGCTATTCATATAATACGTAATTCCATCTCTATGAGGTTACTGTTGAGCAATAAGAGTTTTTGCCATATTGACACACAGTGGGGGGTCAAGTTGTTTAGTCAGGTAAAAGGTAATACCTAGAAAGCATGCCACGTTGTTGGTATTCTTGGCCATGTTCATCTCAAGCACACAGTTGGCGTGGGTACTGAAACCCAGTAGCTGTGCCACCTTTGACCTCAGCTCAATCAACTGCTCCAGAATGACTGTGTTTACCTGCAACAAGACAAAATATTACCTGGAAATAGAACACTTTCAGGAAGTCTGGCACACGTGGTCATAAATACTGCATGTTGACTTTTATGAGAACTCTCTGAACTCTATCAATAAGTAAACTGGTATTGGGAATGCTCTGAAATAGTTGGCTAAACTTATTATATTATTGAATTTTTTAGGGTGGCTTGATTTCTGAAGGAACTGCACTCCTTGGCACCCTTATAATTACAAATGTTGTTATTGTAGACGCCAAGTGGCAAACCAACATTGATTACAAATCAATCAATCAATTGATCAATCAATTAATCAACCAACCAAACAAACAACAAATCAATCAATAAAACAATACATGAATCAATTACAAATGTAATTTGTATAGCTCTTTTTACAAATACATGTAGACCAAGAGCAGGTGGTTTTACCTCCTTACACCTGCTATGGAAAGCAGTCTCCATCTTCCTCCTGGTCTCAGCCACGTGGCACCTCTTCATCAGAGGGTAGTAGTGAGGGTATGCCAGGGTTACCTTGTACCGCCTGTCCTCCGTCTTCTCCAGACCATTCAGATAGCTATCCGCTAGGCCACCTTTGAGGTAAAAAGCAGGAGTCAAAATCCAAATATTCAGAGAAACATGGTAATGATATATAAAGGATACTTGACAAGGATATATGAAGGATATATTATGACAAGGATATATTACGACAAGGAAATATGAAGGACAATCATAGATAGTAGTTTAATTTCTTTTAGTGCTGGTTCTGCTTACTTAGTTCATTTTCACTGAATGTTAGATACGTGTTTTCCTCATTTAGATTTTGGTTGAAGTCGATTGAGAGTTCACTGATGAGTTTTGACAATCTTTTGACTTCCTAGAGAGAGAAGAAATTACCACATTGTTATGAGAACTCTACAATGTCGAAAGTATAGACTGTTTGACTTTCAGCACTACAAATCACATAACAGCCACATATCAAATCTTCAAACAAATGTAATGTTGTTTTCAGCACTTAAGCGCCACTGAGGAATCCTGTCCCTTATGTGTATGCAACTCCAAAGTTTGTATTACCTCCTGTATATCCTTTGACAAGTGCAATCCATTCCTCTTTCCTAATGTGATAAGACGGTCTAAGAATCTCTTGGCCTCAGGCGTTAGATTGTCCAGCTGCTTCTCCTGCAAGAAAAAATCAGACCACTCTCTGAGGATGCACTTGTGCCATGTTGGCAGAACATGTAATATTTCCCATATGTCCCATTGAATACCTCTGGTGCGATTCTGTGTTTGTTTGTGTGTCTCTGTCTGTCTGCCTGTGGTGCCAGACCGTTATCGGGATCAAATTACTGTAGGCTAAATATGAACCAATGGTATCAAACGAGGGCACATTTAGAATGCCAAAGCCAACAACTTAATTACATAACACCTTAAAATAACCTTGAAATAAATATTATTTGGCTCCCTCCATACTTTGTCATAAATGATTTTGGCCATATGTGTATGTATATCTTGTACCTATATTAGTTAGTTAATAGGCAGTTAATTAGTTAGTTAGTACAGTATGTAGTTAGTTGTACCTGCAAGGCAATCACTCTGTGAAACACATCTTCCCTCATACTCATCTCCACATCAAAGTCAGACAGCTTCTTGTCTGCTTCTGTGCTCGCTGAGCGCACCTCCTTACAAGCAGACACGTACTGGGGAAAATCCAGAACATGGCGCTGTGCTGGGGAACAAATGCAGGCAAGATAAAGGTGGCATATTCAACTGGTCCAGAGTAGACTATAGAAATACATTATAGATTAGTGGTCCAGGGAAGAAACAAAACGAGGTTTGTGCTCAAACAACTGGAGCAGAAGTGTTGCCTAAAAATGAGTAATTACTGCATAAAAATATGAAGCGAGAGAAATCGGCATATAAAAAGTTTGATTTTACTGTTTCAACATTAAAAACAAGTTTGTGACCTTTTAATCAACAAAGATCAGTGTGGCCCAGATCAGACAATAACTTACCTGCATATATTAATTTGGCATTAGCCAGGGCTTTTAAGGTGTTTTCAAAGGACACCTGTTCTACATCCAGAGATCCGATGTCATCGTAGACCTGTTTGATCCTCTGGACCAGGCTCTCTGTCATGTTCTTGATCTGATCTGGGGTCAGGTCCCATCTCAGGGTGTTCCTGTTGTTGCAGTCTGCTGTGCTAGCTACTGCAGCGGCATTGGAACAGTTTTTGGCAGCAGGTAACACCATCCCATTCTGCAGGGTCATTCTCACACTGGGTTTAGAACCAAACACTCTGGAGAGAAAATAAAATCATTACAAAAAAAACGACAAAATGTGCATGACATTACATTTGCAACTTTTTGTACATTTCATATAACCTCAGGGTGATTTCATTCACTTTAAATACTGTAAATTCTAGGAAACACACTGGAATGCTAAGAAATACAAGGAAATATTTATCTTAAACTCTAACCATCACACGCACCCATACTTAGACTAAATGACACCAGTCTTTTTAAAGTAATGATTACGTTAGGTTACAACAGTGGTCACACACCAGTAGATCGCGACTGGTCGATCTTTAAGGCATTCCTAGTCAATCACCAAAAATGTCTGTAGAAAAGCCAACGACAAAGGCTTGCGCTCCTTTTTTTCGTGTTGCGCTGTTGGTTTTAGGTGCACTTGATTCAGAAGCCCTGCACACCCGGTGGACCAGGAGATCTGTGGCTAAATCGAGTGCGCCTACTGCGCTGGCCAATCGGACAGCTCAAATCACCATGCCAACAGCTTGCACGAACCCGGCCACTGCAAAGTTTGATACCAGCCTACGTGAGATTTCATGACTTTTAAAACCATGACCAGAAAGAGACTGTCAAAGAATAAAGCAAATAGTTGCTGTTTTTATGAGTGAGTTCATGTCTACGTTTTTATTCAGCACTGTCAACACTGTTTTTATTCAACACAAAACTTGGCTACTAAACATAAAATGCGCTTCTCCCTACGTCCACTCGCGCTGCAGATGCAATGAATGAGTGAGTAGCCAAGTGTATCGACAGCCCTGCGTTTTTATTATTATTAGCAGCTCGTCATGTCTATTTTAATAAAGAGGCATATTTCACTTTCTCTGGTCATAGGAACAACATGAAGTTGTGCATGAGGCAGGTGAGGTGCGACTCGAGTTTCGCCATCAGGTGGAAGACGGTGTCCCCTCTCTCTGGTCAGTCACCGGAGGAAAGAAAGGAGAGAGCAGGGACCGTGAGAGTCTTTCCCTCCCTCCGCTGAGACTAATGCCGTGTTCAAAACAACTGGAAACTCGGAAATCTCCTACTTCCGACTTCAGTGCATTCAAGACAACTGGTAATTCAAGTCGGAAACTCTGGCATCTTTTCTAGAGCTCCGACTTTCCGACCTGAAGATCACTGACGTCATGATTTGACCTCGTTCCCGGTCCCCCTCAGCTGTGCCTTGCAAGTGCTACACCAACTGATCTATTCTATTATCAAAGCTTGAGTTTTGAAATATATTTTTGGTCTGAGAAGAACAATATTGGCAGGCCAGGCACATAGCCAATATGCTTTGATAATGTATTAGGCCTACTGCAAAAACCTAATTCCTACAGAACTGTTTTTATTAGGTTAATGTTACATTATTTTAAGTCATGTTTGAAAAATAAAACTGAGCGGTAGATCTTGGCTTGCTTTTTGACTGCAAAAATGATCTTGACTCAGAAGAGTGACCGCTGGGTTAGAAGATAGACAGTAAATACTTCATGTCAGATGCTATTTGCTGTTATTAATGGCCTTCAAGACTTTCACACGATTGTCACTACCACTTGGATACATTTACTCAGATGACTGACAAATGATCCCACAACACATACAGTTGAAGTCGGAAGTTTACATACACTTAGATTGGAGTTATTAAAACTTGTTTTTCAACCACTCCACAAATGTCTTGTTCACAAACTATAGTTTTGGCAAGTCGGTTAGGACATTTACTTTGTGCATGACACAAGTACTTTTTCCAACAATTGTTTACAGACAGATTATTTCACTTATAATTCACTGTGTCACAATTTCAGTGGGTCAGAAGTTTACATACACTAAGTTGACTGTGCCTTTATACAGCTTGGGAAATTCCAGAAAATTATGTCATGGTTTATGAAGCTTCTGATAGGCTAATTGACATCATTTGAGTCAATTGGAGGTGTACCTGTGGATGTATTTCATGGCCTATCTTCAAACTCAGTGCCTCTTTGCTTGACATCATGGAAAAATCAAAAGAAATCAGCCAAGACCTCAGAAAAAAAATTGTAGACCTCCACAAATCTGGTTCATCCTTGGGAGCAATTTCCAAACGCCTGAAGGTACCATGTTCATCTGTACAAACAATAGTACGCAAGTATAAACACCATGGGACCACGCAGCCGTCATACCGCTCAGGAAGGAGACACGTTCTGTCTCCTAGATATGAACATACTTTGGTGCGAAAAGTGCAAATCAATCCCAGAACAACAGCAAAGGACCTTGTGAAGATGCTGGAGGAAACAGGTACAAATGTATCTATATCCACAGTAAAACGAGTCCTATATCGACATAACCTGAAAGGCCGCTCAGCAAGGAAGAAGCCACTGCTCCAAAACCGCCATAAAAAAGCCAGACTACGGTTTGCAACTGCACATGGTTTGCAACTGCACATGGGGAAAAATATCATACTTTTTGGAGAAATGTCCTCTGGTCTGATGAAACAAAAATAGAACTGTTTGGCCATAATGACCATCGTTATGTTTGGAGGAAAAAGGCGGTTGCTTGCAAGCAGAAGAACACCATCCCAACCGTGAAGCACGGGGGTGGCAGCATCATGCTGTGGGAGTGCATGCCATTGCCTTTTTCCTCCAAACATAACGATGGTCAAGGAGGAATGGGCCAAAATTCACCCAACTTATTGTGGGAAGCTTGTGGAAGGCTACCCGAAACGTTTGACCCAAGTTAAACAATTTAAAGGCAATGCTACCAAATACTAATTGAGTGTATGTAAACTTCTGACCCACTGGGAATGTGATGAAAGAAATAAAAGCTGAAATAAATCATTCTCTCTACTATTATTCTGACATTTCACATTCTTAAAATAAAGTGGTGATCCTAACTGACCTAAAACAGGGAATTTTTACTAGGATTAAATGTCAGGAATTGTGAAAAACTGAGTTTAAATGTATTTGGCTAAGGTGTATGTAAACTTCCGACTTCAACTGTATTAGTGAAAATGGTTACAGGCCTAGATAACCGTGAGATGATAGTAGGCTATGTCATTAAAATGGCTTTGTTGTGGCTATTAAAATATAATACATATAAAAAATATATAAAAGCAAAACTTAATTAAATTTAGCTGAAGTTGCCATAGGTTACTGTAGCAGTCATTTCAGAGGGAAAGGGATAGAAATAGCTTGTTGCAGTGTGCTATCTTTCCAAGAATAGACAATGTGACATTGCCAATGTTACAGTACACAGAAAAAAAGTGTCTCTCCTTTTTACCTCAAATGATATCAAGGTTATAAAAGCTATATATGATGAAACACTGTTATTAACTGTTTTGCTACACTGTAACAACTAGTAGCTCTACAATGTTGCAGTGCAGTGCGATAACTTTCTGTTAGATTGTCTCTGGGCTGTTCTGTGGGCTTAAGGAATGTAACATTGCCAATGTACTACACAGTAGTTCTAACACAGTTGTTGTAACACTGGCTGGAAGGAACATATCAAGAACATGTATCCTATCAAGTGCAAGCGCCTATACCTTCTATACCCTTGAGTCATTGCGAAACCGATTAAGTAAACAAACAATACATTATTGAAGGTCATAAGCAAAGCCACGGAACTTGAACTACCCAACAACCCCAATACAGACACATGCTGCGCATTTTTTCCCTGGCTAACGATGACCATCCAGCCAGCCAGCCGACTTATTTGCATGACCTCAACAGCAATGTGATGGAAACTTGATATGCGCTCATAAAATGTAAAATGGGCTGGCGTACATAAGTTACATACTCAACGTCCAACCTTAAAAAAAAATGGTAACTGGACTTAAAGTGTAGTTTTACGGCTTTAACAGCAACAAAATAATGTTATACTCTCCATACTTTAAATCTTTAGAAGACCTGGAGAGCTCATAGTTATCTTGTTTCATAGCTTGCAGGGTATGCCTATAAAAGCCACACATGATTCATGCCTTTGGTTAATTATAGTGCCCCCCTCAGATATGGCAACTACTCACACACAGCAACATCAATAATTAATGTGCAATTAACAAACACGAGCACGACTTTGACAGTAGCCTACCTGCAAAGCGTTCGGCACACTACAATTCTTATCGAACACATGCCAGCAGCAAGTTCATGCAGTTTTTTGCGTGCAATTCGCAAACCCGCTCTCCTCCAACCTCTCCTGTACTTGACAGCTCCAGCATTGAACGATAATGAGCTCCAGTCCTACTATTATGAATAGGTTCACTTCCGTTGTGAGATGCGCAGGCGCCGGAGATGTGATCAATCTGACAGAAGTTCTCATGACACCGTAACAGGGACTGCTGGAAAATTTACAAGGTAGGTGGGTGGGGGCGTCGAATGGCATCCCTTGAATCAATGTTGTTATTTACAATGTTACAAACTGTATTTAGAAGAATAGGAAAGAGATATCAGCCTGCCTTTGTTTTTCTCCCGTGTATGGCTGCTTCATTATAGCAATGCTCAGTCATTATTACAGGCTGCAGACTATGGGTAGAGAGGCGCACTGTCCGTGGTCATCATGGGTGATGATGTGTTTGGACAGGCAATGTAAATAATCAATATATGTCTGTCATCAACGACTGCTATTTACTTTAGATGATGATGCATTAGGTTGACATGATGAAATTTTAAGTCCCTGGTCGGTATTACATCACATAGCTACACGGCATCATCCCATGTCATCTTTTGTTATGAGGAGGGACTATGTCAACAGAACAGAGGGCTAGTCGCATTGCCTTGTAATGTCAAACAAGCATGATAATGAATTTTAGGGTTTTCAAATGTCAACATTGTGAGGTTATTCTGCACGGTTGCAAAACTATTGATCACACAAGAGAGAATTCATTGAAATCAATGTTTATTTTATGCCATACATTGATTGTATACTGTCATATTTTATTTCAAAGCAATGTCTATCTTATAATATGGGAAAGCATGGGGTCCCTCTCTCCCATGTGTCCCTTGTTGTGTAGGTTATGGATAATTTATAATTATTACCCCTGGCAAGTTTATGCAGTGCAGTAATTATATTACTGTAGTGTACAGTAATACAATATCTCACAATCAAAAAATTGAATTAGTAGACAAATAGATATTAAAATACTTACACTTCAAATGTGTATCACATTGAAATCTAAATTCTGTTGAATGTCCAGCAGCAAGTAACAGTAGTAACCTACTTTGGGAAATCTACAGTGAAGTGAAGAGTTATCAAATGTATGCGTGTGTGATGTGTGTATGATACCGAGGGTTTCATGATTACTGAACTGTGTTTTGCTTATACAGAATGGCATATACACACACTCAAATTCTCCCTCTTGAGTTGTCTTGGAAACAGACTTGCATCTTTCCACTGGCAGTAACGTACTATATTTGGTGCCGTGTATTAACAACTTGGGTCCAACGTACCACATTACAGTGACTTGAGAGACTATAAGTAAGGGAGTCCAGTAACCATAGAACTGTTCAACTGTCATAAAACAACCATTCATGTCGCTTCTTTCGTTTGAATGAACTCTGCAGCCTCTCACTGTGTGGTATTCTATTATATTGTATGTATCCCTTATTGTATGTATCTATTATATGTGTCCCCAAACTTTAATATTCTATTCTATTCTTCTTTATCTCCAAACCTCTTATGCCCAGTTGTTTGAAGCGAAAATGGCAGTGGAGAAGCGCTTGGCATTCTCTATTGTGCAGTTCCTGCGAGATCAAACACACTGTGGTGCTTTGAATTCCGATGAGCAGGAAAGCCTCGAAGGTAGGTCAGCGTGGGATCACTGTCTGTTCAAAGTTTTTGCTAAAACTGCTTATAAAATACTGCATCCTGCTCTCTCCAATTCAAGGTTTTGTAAACGCATTTGGACTATAATAATATGTGCTCTATGTTATCTAATGGACCTATAACCATAATATAAACAGTTCCATTGAATCGAAGCTACTCAATGTTTACTATTATGTTATTGCAACACTGTTTTTGCCCTTGTAGTTGCAATACAATGTTTGGAGACCACCTTCAAGATCAACTCCAGTGACTGTCATCTCGCAGCACCACAACCTCTCACGGAAATATTCCTCAACTCTCTCCTCAAGGTGGGAAGGTTACTCTCTGATTCACTACCTTGTTTCAAACTCTTTTACTTAAACTACAACATTCACCTGTCTGTGTGCAGTTCATCAATCATGCTCAAATCAGTTGTAACCTCACAAGGGTAGTAAACTACAAATGGAAAGATGTGTATAATGCTTGATTGATAAATGTGACTGCATTTCCTTAGAATGACCAGAATAACCTGGTGCTACCAGAGACATCGCCATCACCAGAAGACACAGAAAGGGCAGAACAGCTGAAGAATGAAGGTACTTGACACTGTTTGAATATGTAATGTAGACTTCTGATAAATACACGTTGCATAAGTTCAAATGTACTACAGTTTGTTCCCATAGTGACATTGTTTTGTAATTTTGTAGTAACATTTGTCAGTAGATGTGATCTGATCATAAGACTGGCATTATCTCAAAAAGCGAAACCTCCATTTCATACGCAGGGAACAATCATATGAAAGAGGAGAACTACAGCTGTGCGGTGGAGTGTTACACAAAAGCCATTGATTTAGACCTCCGAAACGCTGTCTACTACTGTAACAGGTACACACAACCACTTCTGAAATGGTCAAGATTTAACACTGTACTCAAATGAGAAATGCATAACATATGTGTAACACCTATATTATATATGTATGTCTATTACACCTATATAAGTCACTATTGTTGTGAACAGTTGAAGTATAACTCTTACGATAGACTTGTTTCATGCATACACAATGCAGTCATAATTGCTGTATGTTTGAGCTGAAAGACATGGCACACAACAGCCTTGCGTGCCTCTTGTCAGACATACAGTAGGTCTGGTGAACCAGACTACTAGCTATAGGCACACAAAGCTGCTGCAGCCTTTGCATGCCTTATTGATCTGAGTGCTAATAAATGAACCAGAGCGTCTGGTTGTGTGACTGGCTGTTTCTGTTATCATCACCGCAGGGCTGCAGCACACAGTAAATTGGGGAACTACACAGAGGCAACGGGAGACTGTGAAAGGGCCATAGGGATCGACCCCAGCTACAGTAAAGCCTATGGGAGAATGGGGTGAGTTAGACATGGGAGAGGAGTGGAAATGTCTGGTCTTGATTTAGTTTAGTTAATTATTTTGACAATTTTAAAAACAAGCACACATAAAGTGAGGGAAAAAAGTATTTGATCCCCTGCTGATTTTGTACGTTTGCCCACTGACAAAGACATCAGTCTATAATTTTAATGGTAGGTTTATTTGAACAGTGAGACACAATAACAACAACAAAAATCCAGAAAAACGCATGTCAAAATGTTATAAATTGATTTGCATTTTAATGAGGGAAATAAGTATTTGACCCCTCTGCAAAACATGACTTAGTATTTGGTGGCAAAACCCTTGTTGGCAATCACAGAGGTCAGACGTTTCTTGTAGTTGGCCACCAGGTTTGCACACATCCCAGGAGGGATTTTGTTCCACTCCTCTTTGCAGATCTTCTCCAAGTGATTAAGGTTTCGAGGCTGACGTTTGGCAACTCGAACCTTCAGCTCCCTCCACAGATTTTCTATGGGATTAAGGTCTGGAGACTGGCTAGGCCACTCCAGGACCTTAATGTGCTTCTTCTTGAGCCACTCCTTTGTTGCCTTGGCCGTGTGTTTTGGGTCATTGTCATGCTGGAATACCCATCCACGACCCATTTTCAATGCCCTGGCTGAGGGAAGGAGGTTCTCACCCAAGATTTGACGGTACATGGCACCGTCCATCGTCCCTTTGATGCGGTGAAGTTGTCCTGTCCTCTTAGCAGAAAAACACCCCCAAAGCATAATGTTTCCACCTCCATGTTTGACGGTGGGGATGGTGTTCTTGGGGTCATAGGCAGCATTCCTCCTCCCCCAAACACAGCGAGTTGAGTTGATGCCAAAGAACTCCATTTTGGTCTCATCTGACCACAACACTTTCACCCAGTTCTCCTCTGAATCATTCAGATGTTCATTGGCAAACTTCAGACGGCCCTGTATATGTGCTTTCTTGAGCAGGGGGACCTTGCGGGCGCTGCAGGATTTCAGTCCTTCATGGCGTAGTGTGTTACCAATTGTTTTCTTGGTGACTATGGTCCCAGCTGCCTTGAGATCATTGACAAGATCCTCCCGTGTAGTTTTGGGCTGATTCCTCACCGTTCTCATGATCATTGCAACTCCACGATGTGAGATCTTGCATGGAGCCCCAGGCCGAGGGAGATTGACAGTTATTTTGTGTTTCTTCCATTTGCGAATAATCGCACCAACTGTTGTCACCTTCTCACCAAGCTGCTTGGCGATGGTCTTGTAGCCCATTCCAGCCTTGTGTAGGTCTACAATCTTGTCCCTGACATCCTTGGAGAGCTCTTTGGTCTTGGCCATGGTGGAGAGGTTGGTGTCTGTTTGATTGAGTGTGTGGACAGGTGTTTTTTCTACAGATAATGAGTTCAAACAGGTGCAGTTAATACAGGTAATGAGTGGAGAACAGGAGGGCTTCTTAAAGAAAAACTAACAGGTCTGTGAGAGCCGGAATTCTTACTGGTTGGTAGGTGATCAAATACTTATGTCATGCAATAAAATGCAAATTAATTACTTAAAAATCATACAATGTGATTTTCTGGATTTTTGTTTTAGATTCCGTCTCTCACAGTTGAAGTGTACCTATGATAAAAATTACAGACCTCTACATGCTTTGTAAGTAGGAAAACCTGCAAAATCGGCAGTGTATTGTCACGATCGTCGACTGAAGACACGGACCAAGGCGCAGCGTGATAAGCGTACATTCTTTATTTTAACGTACTTAACGACAAAAACAACAAACGATACGTGAAGTCCTGAGGTTACAACAAAACAAACCTTACGGAACAAGATCCCACAAATACTAGTGCAACACAGGCTGCCTAAGTATGGTCCCCAATCAGAGACAACGAGCTACAGCTGCCTCTGATTGGGAACCACCCTGGCCAACATAGATCTAAACGAACTAGAACGAAAACATAGAAAAACTAAACATAGAAAAATCCACACCCTGGCTCAACCTTTAAGAGTCCCCAGAGCCAGGGCATGACATGTATCAAATACTTGTGCTCCCCACTGTATCTTTTGAGGAATATGATATTGCTTTTTGGGACTGTTTAAGGAGCAATAGCTGTTGACTGGTATGGTTCGAATGAGATGATAGAACAAGAATATGGCTTGAAAATAGTCATTATTTTGCTGGTATGGTTCGAATGAGATGATAGAACAAGAATATGGCTTGAAAATAGTCATTATTTTGCTCAGGAGTTAAACTCACTGCACTGCTCCAATGTCTCTTATACCGTGTTTCTCTAGATTGGCATTGACTGCTATGAATAAGTACCCAGAGGCCATCTCCTACTTTAAGAAAGCTCTGGTTTTAGATCCAGAGAATGACACCTACAAATCCAACCTGAAGATCGCTGAGCAGAAACAAAAAGAGGCATCCAGTCCTGTAAGTAGTGCTGCTGAAGTTTTTAACTCAATTTCACATTTCAAAGGTCATTCTTAGCATAAACACTGCATGTAATAATGTCATTACTCCCCTACAAATACTGTCACTACACCTCCAAGAATAGACACTTTATTTACATTTGAACTAAACTTTCAGAATGATTCTTCATGTATTACACTTATCTTATATCCCACGGGTATTCAAGTGTGTCAAGATGTCCCAGTTGTGTCAACAGCCAGTGTTGGGGAGTAGTGAACTACATGTAGTTCAACTAGTAATTGAATTACATTTAGCAGTAGCTTGGGGGTAGTTGAACTAAATTCAACTCTAGGTAGTGTTTATTAGTAGTTAATTTATTTTTACCATGTAGTGGTGTAGCTAACTACTGCAACTACACACTACTTTTTTCTTGAAAATAAAATATGGGTGAAGTAGGCAAGAATTTCCTTTCTTTTTCGGCGTCAGACATGCCTAATTATTACTTGACACATCATTTTTGTGTTTAATAGGCTAAATTGCACATTCTGTTGACATCTGACTCCAGAGTGATTTGTCTTGCAATTTGTAGTCTATAACATTTCAGATTTAGTAGTTTGGATGTAGTGAACTACTTTTTCAAAGTAACTTTAGTTAAGTAAACTATATTTTTCTTAAGGGTAGCTTTAGTGTAGCTTAACTTCTTCCAGTGTAAAGTAATTAGTAGCTTGTTAAACTATATTTTCAGAGTAGCTTCCCCAACACTGTCAACAGCTATATCAGACACGTTTAATATTACTGCTTTGAGCAGTGGTACAAAATTATATCATATATACGAACATATTTATCTTGTCAGATTTAGCTTAACGAAGCCTTTGAATGTTTGCTTGTTACAGACGGCTACGGGACTGGGATTTGACATGGCCAGCCTTATCAACAACCCTGCCTTCATCAGCATGGTAAGACTGAGATTAGTGATGGGCTGGAATAAACAACTGCACACAGTATACCTGGGTGGAAACAGATTTAGTTTACTTTAAGGTACTTTAGGTGTGCTTACACGGTGCACCAGTTGTGGGAGGTGGGGGCATGCACTTTAGGACTATTCCATTGGTTCCATTACAGTGGGCAAGCTAAATCAAATTGAAAGAAAACTAATACTATATTCGACCCAGGTCTGACGGACATTGCAGTCCCTCCAGGGCCAAGGCCATCCCTGGTCTAGACAAATCCTAGACATTGGTTCCTCATACTTCTTTTATGAGTGTTTGTGATATGGTTACTAGTGGAGAATGCTTTAAAAAATTGACCCCATGCCTGACACAGTTGGCCTGGTATTCCACCAATGCCATTGTCAAGGGGCCTGGGGACTTTTAAGGGGCTTATCATGGCTGGTTGATTGAACAGTTGGCAGTAGGAATGCCTGCCAGGCAGAGTGCATGTCATTATAAGCATACTGATCCTTCATGGCAGCAGCCAAACTGAGTCCTGAATAGTTTTACTAGACAGCTATGTAATTGTTGTGAGTGCTAAGTAGCCATGCTATTAGAGAATGAATCTCGTTCCCCCTTAACACTGTTGTCTTTTTCACACATTTAAATGGGAGACATGGTGATTTTCTGCTTGCTTTGTGTGCGTTCACAGGCCGCCAGTGTGATGCAGAACCAACAAGTGCAACAGCTGTGAGTGTTCTGCATGTTTAAGCAGCATACCCAGGGCTGTGTGGCTCAATAGTGTGAAGCTACACCCTTTCCTCAGCTTTTCCTTAATCTGCACTGATTATGATAAATAACCCCCACTCTCTGAGGGTGTCTCAGAGAGGTGGGATATGCAACAAACACATTTCCAATTCACACATGCATATTAATACACACTTGTGCGAAAATAAGACAAATGTAAGCCCCCACAAAAGTGTTATTATTAAATAGATGAAAGACACCCCACTAAAACTATTGAGACAAAGCCCATCAAGATGTTTTAGTTTACAAAAATACCCTCCATCCCCCTAATTCATAATGCTGTTATCATAGCTTGAAGTCAGAATTTAGAAATGACTGTTCAATTATGCTCAGATGTTTTTGTTAAAATGGCGTGTGACACGTTTATAACTCTTTTGGGTTCTCTCTCGTCCTCTCTCTTTCTGTGGGCAGTATGTCAGGGATGATGTCCAATGCGGTCGGGGGTCCAGCAGCAGGGGTGGGAGGACTGTCGGACATCTCCAGCCTGATTGAAGCGTACGTCAGCACCACAAGGGTCATGACTGTAACAAACACAGGGACTCTCTGCTCCTGACCTTAGGGCTCAAATTGCACATTTTAAAAAGCAACAGACAGATCAAGGATTACCTCAAAGTAAAGGCTCAATTTTGGTCTAACGTTGTTTTTGCTCAGAATTGTGAGGGACTCAAAGTAGCATGCTTCATCTATCTGTATTATAATCTACTTGACACAAGGACTACATTAACCTGGTACAATTGAAGTCGGAAGTTTACATACACCTTAGCCAAGTACATTTAAACTCAGTTTTTCACAATTCCTGACATTTAATCCTTGTAAAAATGCCCTGTCTTAGGTCAGTTAGGATCACCACTTTATTTTAAGAATGTGAAATGTCAGAATAATAGTAGAGAGAATGATTTCTTTCAGCTTTTATTTCATTCATCACATTCCCAGTGGGTCAGAAGTTTACATACACACAATTAGTATTTGGTAGCATTGCCTTTAAATTGTTTAACTTGGGTCAAATGTTTCGGGTAGCCTTCCACAAGCTTCCCACAATAAGTTAGGTGAACTTTTGCCCATTCCTCCTGACAGAGCTGGTGTAACTGAGTCAGGTTTGTAGGCCTCCTTGCTCGCACACGCTTTTTCAGTTCTGCCCACAAATTTTCAATAGGATTGAGGTCAGGGCTTTGTGATGGCCACTCCAATACCTTGACTTTGTTGTCCTTAAGCCATTTTGCCACAACTTTGGAAGTATGCTTGGGGTCATTGTCCGTTTGGAAGACCCATTTGCAACCAAGCTTTAACTTCCTGACTGATGTCTTGAGATTCAATATATCCACATCATTTTCCTTCATCATGATGCCATCTATTTTGTGAAGTGCACCAGTCCCTCCTGCAGCAAAGCACCCCCACAGCATGATGCTGCAACCCCCGTGCTTCACGGTTGGGATGGTGTTCTTCGGCTTGCAAGTACCCCCCTTTTCCTCCAAACATAACGATGGTCATTATGGCCAAACAGTTCTATTTTTGTTTCATCCAACCAGAGGACATTTCTCCAAAAAGTACGATCTTCAAATCAAATCAAATCAAATTTTATTTGCCACATGTGCCGAATACAACAGGTGTAGACATTACCGTGAAATGCTTACTTACAGCCCTTAACCAACAATGCATTTATTTTTTAATAAAAAAGTAAAATAAAACAACAACAACAAAAAAGTTTTGAGAAAAAAAGAGCAGAAGTAAAATAAAATAACAGTAGGGAGGCTATATACGGGGGGGACCGGTGCAGAATCAATGTGCGGGGGCACCTGCTAGTTGAGGTAGTTGAGGTAATATGTACATGTGGGTAGAGTTAAAGTGACTATGCATAAATCATTAACAGAGTAGCAGCAGTGTAAAAAGATTGGGTGGGGGTGGGGGGGCAGTGCAAGTAGTCCGGGTAGCCATGATTAGCTGTTCAGGAGTCTTATGGCTTGGGGGTAGAAGCTGTTGAGAAGCCTTTTGGACCTAGACTTGGCACTCCGGTACCGCTTGCCGTGCGGTAGCAGAGAGAACAGTCTATGACTAGGGTGGCTGGAGTCTTTGACAATTTTGAGGACCTTCCTCTGACACCGCCTGGTATAGAGGTCTGGATGGCAGGAAGCTTGGCCCCAGTGATGTACTGGGCCGTACGCACTACCCTCTGTAGTGCCTTGCGGTCGGAGGCCGAGCAGTTGCCATACCAGGCGGTGATGCAACCAGTCAGGATGCTCTCGATGGTGCAGCTGTAGAACTTTGAGGATCTGAGGACCCATGCCAAATCTTTTCAGTCTCCTGAGGGGGAATAGGCTTTGTTGTGCCCTCTTCACGACTGTCTTGGTGTGTTTGGACCATGATAGTTCGTTGGTGATGTGAACACCAAGGAACTTGAAGCTCTCAACCTGTTCCACTACAGCCCTGTCGATGAGAATGGGGGCGTGCTCCGTCCTCTTTTTTTCCCTGTAGTCCACAATCATCTCCTTTGTCTTGGTCACGTTGAGGGAGAGGTTGTTATCCTGGCACCACACGGCCAGGTCTCTGACATCCTCCCTATAGGCTGTCTCATTGTTGTCAGTGATCAGGCCTACCACTGTTGTGTCGTCGGCAAACTTAATGATGGTGTTGGAGTCGTGCCTGGCATGCAGTCATGGGTGAACAGGGAGTACAGGAGGGGACTGAGCACGCACCCGAGGGGCCCCCGTGTTGAGGATCAGCGTGGCAGATGTGTTGTTACCTACCCTTACCACCTGGGGGCGGCCCGTCAGGAAGTCCAGGATCCAGTTGCAGAGGGAGGTGTTTATTCCCAGGATCCTTAGCTTAGTGATGAGCTTTGAGGTTACTATGGTGTTGAACGCTGAGCTGTAGTCAATGAATTGCATTCTCACGTAGGTGTTCCTCTTGTCCAGGTGGGAAAGGGCAGTGTGGAGTGCAATAGAGATTGCATAATCTGTGGATCTGTTGGGGCGGTATGCAAATTGGAGTGGGTCTAGGGTTTCTGGGATAATGGTGTTGATGTGAGCCATGACCAGCCTTTCAAAGCACTTCATGGCTACAGACGTCAGTGCTACGGGTCGGTAATAATTTAGGCAGGTTATCTTAGTGTCCTTGGGCACAGAGACTATGGTGGTCTGCTTGAAACATGTTGATATTACAGACTCAGTCTGGGACATGTTGAAAATGTCAGTGAAGACACTTGACAGTTGGTCAGCACATGCTCGGAGTACACGTCCTGGTAATCCGTCTGACCCTGCGGCCTTGTGAATGTTGACCTGCTTAAATGTCTTACTCACATCGGCTACGGAGAGCGTGATCACATAGTCATCCGGAACAGCTGGTGCTCTCATGCATGCTTCAGTGTTGCTTGCCTCGAAGCGAGCATAGAAGTGGTTTAGCTCGTCTGGTAGGCTTGTGTCACTGGGCAGCTCGCGGCTGTGCTTCCCTTTGTAGTCTGTAATAGTTTTCAAGCCCTGCCACATCCGACGAGCGTCAGAGCCGGTGTAGTACGATTCAATCTTAGTCCTGTATTGACTCTTTGCATGTTTGATGGTTCGTCTGAGATAATAGCGGGATTTCTTATAAGCGTCCGGGTTAGAGTCCTGCTCCTTGAAAGCGGCAGCTCTACCCTTTAGCTCAGTGCGGATGTTGCCTGTATTCCATGGCTTCTGGTTGGGGTATGTATGTACGGTCACTGTGTCCCCATGTGCAGTTGCAAACCATAGTCTGGCTTTTTTATGGCGGTTTTGGAGCAGTGGCTTCTTCCTTGCTGAGCGGCCTTTCAGGTTATGTCGATATAGGACTTGTTTTACTGTGGATATAGATACATTTGTACCTGTTTCCTACAGCATCTTCACAAGGTCCTTTGCTGTTGTTCTGGGATTGATTTGCACTTTTCGCACCAAAATACATTCATCTCTAGGAGACAGAACGCGTCTCCTTCCTGAGCGGTATGACAGCTGCGTGGTCCCATGGGGTTTATACTTGCGTACTATTGTTTGTACAGATGAACGTGGTACCTTCAGGCGTTTGGAAATTGCTCCCAAGGATGAACCAGACTTGTGGAGGTCTACAATTCTTTTTCTGAGGTCTTGGCTAATTTCTTTTGATTTTCCCATGATGTCAAGCAAAGAGGCACTGAGTTTGAAGGCAGGTCTTGAAATTCATCCACAGGTACACCTCCAATTGACTCAAATTATGTCAATTAGCCTATCAGAAGCTTCTAAAGTCATGACATCATTTTTTGGAATTTTCCAAGTTGTTTAAAGGCACAGTCAACTTCTGACCCACTGGAATTGTGATACAGTGAATTATAAGTGAAATAATCTGTCTGTAAACAATTGTTGGAAAAAACACTTGTGTCATGCAGAAAGTAGATGTCCTAATCGACTTGCCAAAACTATAGCTTGCTAACAAGAAATTTGTTGAGTAGTTGAAAAACAAGTTTTAATGACTCCAACCTAAGTGTATGTAAACTTCCGACTTCAACTGTATGTAAAGCAGAGAAACCCTAAATGCCAGCTCGTCTGGCCTCTGTTTGCAGTGGTCAGCAGTTTGCCCAGCAGATCCAGCAGCAGAACCCAGAGCTGATCGAACAGCTGAGGAACCACATCCGCAGCCGCTCCTTCAGTGGCAGTGCTGAGGAGCACTCGTGATCCACACAGGTCTGTGTACTACAACACAGCTCTTACAGGGTGCATCTCCATAGTCTAAAGAGGCTTCCCCTCCTCAATCTGCTCTAATGGAATAGTGAAAAGCAACATGGAGATTGCGGTAGATTTGCCTTCACCTGTCCAGTTATATCAATAGCAGAGACCTAACATTTGATTGTATGTGTGCTTTTGTTTTACCAGCAATAGATGGATCAGGATCTGGTTATGAATTACTTAAACTGTAATTACAATGTTGTTACACAAGGTGAAAAGGATGTTCGAATAACATGAATATTTCTTCCCTTCAGCGTACGTTTCAATAGAGGAAGGGCAACCATATGTCGTGATTACAATCTCTACACCCATTCCTTAAACTCACATCACCGGCAAAGCTGGAATGAAGAGACAGGCGGAGATGGGGACCATGTTACTTTACTGTGACTGGATCTTCAGAGAGGAGAGGAGAGAAGAGAAACAGTCTACACATTCTACATACGTAATAAGAAGAGAGAGTATCCAACACATTCTATGTTGATACTCAAATCAGGAAATAGAGTTTCAACCGCATTCTAGCCACCCAATTACTTTCAAAAACATTCCCACCAATCAGCAGAAAGAATATTCTACACAGTTCGAGACGCAATCAGGAGACAGTCTCAACTAATTCTTTTAAATATCCAACCCAGTGCACAGCAAATATTTTATCTTTCCTCAATGATGTTCCATTCCAAATGGATTTCTTTGTTTTTCTATATTGTGCTGTAGTAGAAATGTGGAAACCATTGCCGTGTTCCTATACTGAATAACAGATCCTTTGTTCCGCACTGATTGCACTGATTCAACAGAATTGTACGTAGGAGAATGCAGGGGTGTATACAGTGAGATAAAATGTTTAGATATAAATTAAATGAATAGAGCTGATTGGATTCCCTATTCTACATGACAGGCAATTGTATCTGTTCTACACAATACAGTTCTATCTTCATGTTCTGTAACATTGCACCTTTCAGAACTGACCCCAGGATTTGACTTAAAATTGCTTTCAGTAATTTCCTTGAGGGAAAGGGAGGAAGGAATTAAGGAAGGAGTGAAAGGGAGGAAGGAATTAAGGAAGGAGAGAAAGGGAGGAAGGAATTAAGGAAGGACAGAAAGGGAGGAAGGAATTAAGGAAGGAGAGAAAGGGAGGAAGGAATTAAGGAAGGAGAGAAAGGGGTTGTTAAGGAAGGAGTGAAAGGGATAAAGGATGCATCTGTGAAGTATTTTCTCATGACTACATGAGTTACACACGACAGCAGGGTTACATTGTTTTCTGTCCTATCATGTTCAGAGTTATTTTTGTACTAAATTATTTGTTATAGTTACTGTTGGGTGAAACAAAGACCCTAAGCCTTGATCATGTGGATCTCTGTCATTGCTTTGGATAACAATTATCAGACTGCTAATTTGAAGATAAAGGAAAGTATGTCCTTGAAAGTATGTATAGTGACCATGTCTGCACCCCCCACCCCACCCCACCCCACCCTGTATGTACTAGTCATTGCAACCATAGCAAACACACGTCATTATGTCAATGCCATTTCCCTTTTGATTCTGTTTCATTTGACATCACTGAAGCAATGTTGATAGTATGGGACTTCTTCAGCCTTGTTGATTTTGCATGCTTTTCCATCTGATATTTATTGTCAGACACTTAATTGAAGCTAATGAATATGCTTGTAAAACAGAGCAGCATAATGTTTCGTCAAAAAATATACGCCTCAATAAAATGTATTGAAATTGAGTTTTTTAGTTCTGTGAGTCTTGTTGTGAAATCATATAATTAAATCACTTCGGAAGCAGATTTGTACTTATATAGTGCAGAATAATAAAGATTTTAGCGAAGCACAACAAACTAGGGATTAAGTTAACGTTTTTATTCACATTTAAATGCACATTAATTTAAAATCATGATTTTTTTTTGCAAAGAAAACATTAAAAACATAACATCTGTTAAAACATGATCACCTTGGGGTGTGTACAGTAAGTGTAAGGTGATGATATAGGTGCAGAGTATGGTAGTTGGTCCATTGAGATGTGAGATCTATAGTGCTCAGTTCTAGAATGGTCTAGAAGAGTCTTAGCTCTGACGGCTCATGTATGGACAGACCACACACACCTGTGCAATGTCATCGTATTCATAAGTCCTCTTCAGAAATGTGTCGGTCAGTCTCAGGCCAGATATACTCTGAAACACAAGCAAATGGTGATTAGCTACAATCACCAACTGATTGTTGACTGCAACTGTTAACAGTAATAGCATAACATACTGTAATAAGCCTTAGCTATGCTTAGTGTTACAATGTATTATAATGTGAAGAAGTGGGCACCTACTTGCAAGCCCTGGACAGAGGAGAGGAGTTTGAGGGGCAGAGAGTGCGAGGCACTGGGGCTGACTTTGCCCAGCTGTCTCCCTGATACACCGCACCAGTGGATGGAGCGGGTGTTACACATCTCCAGCACCAGGTCCATGGTCCTCTCACTGCAACAACACACAACTTGGCCATCAGATTTGCCACCAATCCTACTTAAAGAACACATCACAGTACTTTGTATTCCTCTGTAAACTGGCCATCTCTTTATACAAGACGCAAAATCCACTGGTTGATGCTCATCTACAAAATCATCTTATGCCTCACTCCCCCTAGCCAACAAAACTCAACTCCATGATTTAAGATGGTGTGCTGAGATACTTACCTGAGATACCTATTGCAACCCTCATCCTCTAAATACAGCACCCGATCTGCCATTCATATTCTGTTAAAGGTCCACAAAGCAAACACATCCCTGGGTCGCTCCTCTTTTCAGTTCGCTGCAGCTAGCGACTGGAACAATTTACAAAAAACATTTAAGCTGGAAAGTTATGTCTCTGTCTCAGCTTTCAAGGACTCAGTCATGGATATGCAAACCAATAATGTAGGCTGCTGATCGTGGTGTCTGTTTTCTGTCTGTTTGCGCTGCTATTATTTGTGCTATGTTGCTTGTATTGTGGTCTGCCATGTCTTGTGAAATCCCTTCTTGTCGTGATGTGCTTTGTCTCTGCCTACTTTGTCCCTCGTGCTGTTGTCTGCCCTTATTAATGCTTGTACTATGTTGTGCTATGGTCTGCCCTTATTAATGCTTGTACCATGTGTTGTTGTCTGCCCTTTTTAATGCTTGTACCATGTTGTGCTGTTGTCTGCCCTTATTAATGCTTGTACCATGTTGTGCTGTTGTCTGCCATTATTAATGCTTGTACCATGTTGTGCTGTTGTCTGCCGTTATTAATGCTTGTACCATGTTGTGCTGTTGTCTGCCGTTATTAATGCTTGTACCATGTTGTGCTGTTGTCTGCCGTTATTAATGCTTGTACCATGTTGTGCTGTTGTCTGCCCTTATTAATGCTTGTACCATGTTGTGCTGTTGTCTGCCCTTATTAATGCTTGTACCACGTTGTGTTGTTGCCATAGCTCTCCCTTCATGTAGCGTGGTGGTGTCTCTTGTCTTGTTGTGCTTTGATTCCACTCTCTGTCTGCTGATGTATCTGTACTGTTACCAAGTGTGTTCTGTCTATGTTGTCAATCTTCTCTTACACTTTCTTTTAATCCCCACCCCTTCCCCACAGGAGGCCTTTTGCCTCATTCCAGGCTGTTAATGTAAATAATAATTTGTTAATAATTGACGTGCCTGGTCAAATACAAAATAAATACAAAATTATACATACACACAGTGCATTAGGAAAGTATTTAGACCCCTTGACCTTTTCCACATTTGGTTACGCTACAGCCTTCTTCTAAAATTGATTAAATTGTTGTTGTTTTTTCATCAGTCTACACACAATACCCTATAATGACAAAGCAAAAATAGGTTATACATTTTTGCAAATATCACATTTACGTAAGTATTCAGACCCTTTACTCAGTACTTTGTTGAAGCACCTTTGGCAGCGATTACAGCATCGAGACTTCTTGGGTATGACGCTACAAGCTTGGTACACCTGTATTTGGGGAGTTTCTCCCATTCTTCTCTGCAGATCCTCTCAAGCTCTGTCAGGTTGGATGGGGAGCGTCGCTGCACAACTATTTTCAGGTCTCTCCAGAGATGTTCATTGGGTTCAAGTCCGGGCTCGGCTGGGCCATTCAAGGACCTTCAGAGACTTGTCCCGAAGCCACTCCTGCGTTGTCTTGGCTGTGTACTTAGGGTCATTGTCCTGTTGGAAGGTGAACCTTTGCTCCAGTCTGAGGTCCTGAGCGCTCTGGAGCAGGATTTCATCAAGGATCTCTCTGTACTTTGCTCCATTCATCTTTCCCGCAATCCTGACTGGTCTCCCAGTCCATGCCGCTGAAAAACATCCCCACAGCATCATCCTGCCACCACCATGCTTCACCATAGGGATGGCGCCAGGTTTCCTCTAGACATGACACTTGGCATTCAGGCCAAAGAATTCAATCTTGGTTTCATCAGACCAGAGAATCTTGTTTCTCATGGTCTGAATCCTTTAGGTGCCTTTTGGCAAACTCCAAGCAGGCTGTCATGTGCATTTTACTGAGGAGCGGCTTCCGTCTGGCCACTCTACCATAAAGGCCTGATTGGGGGAGTGCTGCAGAGATGGTTGTCTTTCTGGAAGGTTCTCCCATCTCCACAGAGGAACTCTGGAGCTCTTTCAGAGGGACCTTCGGGTTCTTGGTCACCTCACTGACCAAGGCCATTCTCCCCCGATTGCTCAGTTTGGCCGGGCGGCCAGCTCTAGTGAGAGTCTTGGTGGTTCCAAACTTCCTCCATTTAAGAATGATGGAGGCTACTGTGTTCTTGGGGACCTTCAATGCTGAAGGCATTTTTTGGTACACTTCCCCAGATCTGTGCCTCGACACAATCCTGTCTCGGAGCTCTACAGACATTTCCTTCGATCTCATGGCTTGATTTTTGCTCTGACATGCACTGTCAACTGTGGGACCTTATATAGACAGGTGTGTGCCTTTCCAAATCATGTCCAATCCATTTAATTTACTACAGGTGGACTCCAATCAAGTTGTAGAAACATCTCAAGGATGATCAATGGAAACAGGATGCCCCTGAGCTCAATTTCGAGTCTCATAGCAAAGGGTCTGAATACTTATGTAAACATTTTATTTATTATGTGCAAAAATTTCTAAAAACCTGTTTTCACTTCATCATTACATGATTTATGTGTAGATTAATGAAGAAAAAAAAACAATTTAATAAATTTTAGAATTAGGCTGTAATGTAACAAAATGTGGAAAAAGTCAAGGGGGCTGAATACTTTCCGAATGCACTATATACACACAAACACACAACCAGTCAAACGTTTGGACACACCTACTCATTCAAGGGTTTTTCTTTATTTTTACTATATTTTACATTGTAGAATAATAGTGAAGACATCAAAACTATGAAATAACACATATGGAATCACGTAGTAACCAACGAAGTGTTAAACAAATCAAAATATATTGTATATTTCAGATTCTTCAAATAGCCACCATTTGCCTTGATGACAGCTTTGCAAACACTTGGCATTCTCTCAACCAGCTACCCCCAGAAAAATAAAAATAAAAATAAACACTTGGCATTCTCTCAACCAGCTTCATGAGGTAGTCAACGGGAATTTCAATTAACAGGTGTGCCTTCTTAAAATATAATGCGTTTGAGCCAATCAGTTGTGTTGTGACAAGGTAGGGGGGCATACAGAAGATAGCCCTATTTGGTAAAAGACCAAGTCCATATTATTGCAAGAACAGCTCAAATAAGCAAAGGGAAACCACAAGTCCATCATAACTTTAAGACATGAAGGTCAGTCAATACGTAAAATGTCAAGAACTTTGAAAGTTTCTTCAAGTGCAGTGGCAAAAACCATAAAACGCTATGATGAAACTGGCTCTCATGAGGACCACCACAGGAATGGAAGACCCAGAGTTACCTCTGCTGCAGAGGATAAGTTCATTAGAGTTACCAGCCTCAGAAATTGCAGCCCAAATAAATGAGTTCAAGTCACAGACACATCTCAACATCAACTGTTCAGAGGGGACTGTGTAAATCAGGCCTTCATGGTCGAATTGCTGCAACGGTGTGGGTGAACGGATGATCTCCGCATGTGTAGTTCCCACCGTAAAGCATGGAGTAGGTGGTGTTATGGTGTGGGGGTGCTTTGCTGGTGACACTGTCTCTGATTTATTTAGAATTCAAGGCACACTTAACCAGCATGGCTACCACAGCATTCTGCAGCGACACGCCATCCCATCTGGTTTGGGCTTAGTGTGACTATCATTTGTTTTTCAACAGGACAATGGCCCAACACACCTACAGGCTGTGTAAGGGCTATTTTACCAAGAAGGAGAGTGTTGGAGTGCTGCATCCGATGACCTGGCCTCCACAATCCCCCGACCTCAACCCAATTGAGATGGTTTGGGATGAGTCGGACGGCAGAGTGAAGGAAAAGCAGCCAACAAGTGCTCAGCATATGTGGGAACTCCTTCAAGACGGTTGGAAAAGCATTCCAGGTGAAGTTGGTTGAAAGAATGCCAAGAGTGTGCAAAGCTATCATCAAGGCAAAGGGTGGCTACTTTGAAGAATCTAAAATATATTTTGATTTGTTTAACACTTTATTGGTTACTAAATGATTCCATATGTGTTATTTGATAGTTTTGATGTCTTCACTATTATTGTACAATGTAGAAAATAGTAAAAATAAAGAAAAACCCTGGGAGTACGTGTGTCCAAACTTTTGACTGGGTACTGGTACTGGCTCTCTATATATTCTCCTCTTCTAGCGCCGAAGCATCAGCTCTTCAGAGAAGCGAGGAGTGAGAGACGTCTCGCGTCATGACTGCGATCTCCTCCGCTCTCCGTCAGAGACGTCTCTAGGTTATCGCGGACTGATCTCTGAGTTTCTCTCTCGCTCTCTCTCTCTCTCTCTCTCTCTCTCTCTCTCGCTCTCTCTCCTCTACTCTCTCCCATCTCTTCTGACTCTCGCTCTCTCTCTCTCTCTCTCTCTATCATTATATATATATATAGAGAGAGAGAGGGGAAACACCACTATAATCTATACATATACATACCAGTCAAAAGTTTGGACACCTACTCATCAAGTGTTTTTCTTATTTGTACATAATTTTATATTTGAGATTCTTCAAATAGCCTCCTTGCCTTGATGACAGTTTGCACACTCTGGCATTCTCTCAAACAGCTTCACCTGGAATGCTGTTCAAACAGTCTGAAGGAGTTCCCAATAGCTGAGCTTGTGGGCTGCTTTTTCCTTCACTCTGCGGTCCGACTCATCCCAAACCATCTCAATTGGTTGAGATCGGGGGATTGTGGAGGCCAGGTCATCTGATGCAGCACTCCATCACTCCCCTTCTTGGTCAAATAGCCCTTACACAGCCTGGAGGTGTGTTGGGTCATTGTCCTGTTGAAAAACAAATGATAATCCCACTAAGCCCAAACCAGATGGGATGGCGTATCGCTGCAGAATGCTGTGGTAGCCATGCTGGTTAAGTGTGCCTTGAATTCAAAGGCAGGTGACTAACTTATGAAGCTGGTTGAGAGAATGCCAAGAGTGTGCAAAGCTGTCATCAAGGCAAAGAGTGCCTATTTGAAGAATCTCAAATAGAAAATATATTTTGATATGTTTAACACTTTTTTGGTTACTACATGATTCCATATGTGTTATTTCATAGTTTTGATGTCTTCACTATTATTCTACAATATAGAAAATAGTTAAAATAAAGAAACACCCTGGAATGAGTAGGTGTGTCCAAACATTTGACTGGTACTGTATATAAAACATACAACCAGCCTAGTTAAAAGTCTATATGTGCTTTAACCAGCCCATCATTGTCATAACATACCATCTATCGTGTCCATATCATATTGTAGATTAAAGAATAGCATGATAATGACAGTCAGGAGAGTTGCCACACATAGGTCCGTCCATCCATTTGACTATACCTGCAGTTGGTGATTTTACAGGTGATGTCGAAGGGTTCCTCTAGGTTGACGGTGTCTGGGATCATCTCCAGTGATAGTCTGACGTCTCCATAACCTGGAGCCTGGCAGAGACAAGTGGAAAAACAATACCCTGTTGAAGGTCGACTGAGATCCATTAAATTGTTGGAAGCATCCAGGTTACTGGTATGCTGGAGTTTATTTTTTATAAGGAGTCTGGACCGATTTTCTTCATTTTAAGCTTAAGAAGCGCATCATCTGGGACCATGGTATAGGCCACTTTAGATTGCACTGTCTGGTTGGTACCCCTGGGCAACAGGCTTGGAGACATCACATTTTGCATAATTTAGGTGATGCAATTGTAGACCAATTTGGAAACTGTAGAATGACTACATTACCCAATTGAGAATATCATCTTCATTTTGAGCTATGTTATTTTCATAGTAATTGTCCAATGAGTCACATTTGTCAACAGCCCAGGTATGACTGACAAGAACAACATCAACACCACCACTCAACAAACTACAACAAAGACAACCACAGCATTGAGACTGAGAATGTCCTGTTATGCAACAACCATATACTTTAACTAAGAACCATATCATGTAACTGAGAATGCTCTGGTACCATTCTCTGTAGCTGGCTTGTCTGCAGCCTTCCTTTCTCTCCTAAGTTGGTCTTCCACACAATGTCCAGTTTACCGATGACCGTCACGCCCTTGATGACGCCCGCCTTCTCTGCAAACTCCGATTTGGGCTTCAGGCAGTAGAGGTACTGGCGCGTGTCCATGGGCTGCAGGTAAGACATCTTCCCAAACGTAGACGTTCTGGAACACAGTCAGGGTGGAGAAGTCTGAGCTGACACTGAAAACCTATTACATTTGACATAGTGGGGGCGCCTTGAGCGACAGTGAGAAAACTTGGCCGAGTGAATGCAGTATCTCGTACGCAGCATAGATTTCAATCAGAATAGTCATACAGCTTTCACAGTCAAAATGTTTCAACAAAAAAGCAGTAAAATAACACTAGAAATTGAGACCAGAAAAAACAAGATATCATGCTAGCATAATCTATACAGATACTCTTGTCGAGTTCCCTTTCTCTTCTTCACACGTATATCTTTCTGAAATTAATGCCTTTTTACTGTACAATCCAAACATAACACTAAAATATGTGTGTGTATGTATCCCCCTTACCCTTCGTCCCCAGTCTCCACGGTGTTGAGCTCGGTGACATTGTACATCATGGAGGGCTCCAGGGACACTTTCTCCATGAACATGGGCGACGTGGTGATGTTCTGGATCTGGGCCTCAAGAAACACCTCGTCTGTCTGGGGGCGGGGGTAAGGGGTCAGCGCTAACGTTAGCCGCTAACTAGAGGAACACCACCTCAAAGGACTTAACTGGGCAGCACTTTGACTTCAATTCCTTTCAATGTACTTTACAGCGTATTGGCCCCTCAAGGGGAAGTTGTAGATTTCATTTAGGCCTAGTGTGTGTCAGATTTTTCTGAAAACATGTGACTTATACAGTTAGATTCTAGAAAAAACCACAAAATACCTGTATAACTTACACTAGATTTTGGCATGTATGAATGTGTCAGAAATATTACGACATCATTAGAACCCCAGTAAGACAAGGTTTTCATACCTTCGTCAATACTATTTAAATCAACCAGCAGGGCCAAAATGGAGTAGCAAAGTCTGCTCAGTTTACCTTTGAGGAGTGGATTAGTACTCAACTGAACAGAGGAGCGCTCAGAGATTAGTTCATGCCTGAAATTCAAATGCTAGTGATTAAGTAGGGACCACAGACAGAAACATTCTGCCAGACGGACAGACAGACAGACTGGGGTTATTGTTACAGAGCAGAGCACCTCTCCACATCTCCCATGCTGAGCCTGACCTGTCATCAAACCCAACACAAAAAACTGATTGGACACATCTCAAATAGCACCCCATATACCCCATTTAGTGCAGCTACTTTTGTCCAGAGCTTTATTTGAAGAACGTTTCACTTGATCTGATTTATTCTGACTCTTGAAAGAGTTTCTTTTAGATAAAGAGTGAAATAAACATATAAATTCATATAATCAGATTAATAATCACCAACACTAAAATCCTCATTAAAATGTACAGCCCTTCCCATCAGAGATTGGTACTGGATTTCGATTGAAAATCATAATTCAAATCTACATTCGAATCCAATCATTCAAAAGACCAGTAGAAATGGAAACCCCACTACAATCATACAGACCTAGGCTCTGTCTGAAATGGCCCCCTATTCACTATATAGTTCACTACTTTTGACCAGAGCCTTACGGGCCCTGGTCAAAAGCAGTGCACTATATAGGCAATAGGGTGCCATTTAGAAACCCGCCCTAGCCTAGACCCATGATGTCGATTTCACCCTATGAGGATGGATTGTTTGATCAATGCACTCCCAAAGCTTCCATTCTATTTCCCATGAATCTCTCTGGCACCACGCCCACCTACTGCCCGATTGCACAAGTCCTGTGAGAGATGAGTTAGCGAGAGGGCACAAGCGTCGAAGAGAAAAAAATCAGAGTAAAGGCAAAATAGTGGGAAAAGCCTTTGATGGACCTTTACTAAAGCAGCATCACACATCTGTTTTCTTTGTGAGAAGTGAAGTCTTACTATATGAGTTTTTATTCTTCATATTGTTTTCCCCCTGCATGCTTTTCCCTTATTTTGCCGTTGCTCATGCTCATTGGCTCCATAGAAAGACAGACAGACGTTGCTGCAATAAGGATTAAGAAAGCGAGAGTTAAGAGCAATGAAAACTGAAAGAACGATTACCACGGAACTGAGGTCACTCTAATGGAGAAAATAAAAACACAAGAGACAATAAACAAATGAAGGTTACATGCCAAATGAAAGTGACAATGCATCTTGTTTCATCCGCTAACAAATTAAATGCTACTAATATGCAAATTAGGGAATAAAAAGCTAATTTGACTATGTGTCACCAATGGAAATGCCTGACCATGGAATGAAACATGATATACAGCAAACTCTATGTTTGTGATGTCATCTAAAAACCAGTGGCTGAATTGATAGTGGAAATGTATGGAAAAATATGTGACTATGTATGAGTAAAGATAGATGGTATGTTGACAAAGGTGGAAAGTTGAATAAGTCGGTAGGATGACTGTATTTGTCATTGTTTTGGTACAGGTAATAAAAGAGTGAGGTAAGTGCAGCTGAGAGAAAGAGAAAAAAAACATACCTCCGCATTGTAGAACTTGGTTTTGACGTCGAGCGGCTTCAGAACCTGATTGAGAATAGATTGCAAGCTAAATGATGCCGATTTCTCAAATGATTTCTCAAAATATTCCTCCATTCAACAGCGACGACAAACCTCCCTTCACAACATTAGAAAATATCACAATTTATCACTGAAAAAGCTAAAATCCATGAGCCAAGAAATTCGATTTAAAACGGTCAGTATAGCTTATACAAAAATGATTGTTACTGTAGGAGAAGTTGGATTTAGTTTCTTTGTGTGACTTAGAGCAGATCCTTTCTGAGACTGAGGGCAGTAGGTAGTGAGATTGTTTGGTAGTCAAAAGCCAAAGCTTGTGTGCTATTGCTAATTGCTTTTCCTCTGTCATGGACCTGTGACATTGCTCAGGGTTGAGGTCTGGTATCTAATATAACTCTGTGAGGGAGCATGGGGGAGGTCAAATTAAGGACGCTTTGAAACTCACCTGAAATTTAAAGAACTTCCTGAAGTATAGCTTCTCTCCCGCCTGTGTGGTATAACTGACTGCACAAACCAAGCTAGAATAGAGACCGAAATCCTTGAATATTAGCATTCAAATGAACTCCTAAGTATCTTTGCAGATGTGTTGCTGTTTATATTCCCCACTGTTGTCTCGAGAGACACCCTTCTCCCAGAATTACATAGGGCAATGGTCAAAAGTATGTTATTTAAGAATTAGTCCATGTCAGAAAGTAAACATACATGTGAGTTCCAATCTCTTTGACTTCGTGGTGGATGACATCATCGATGCAGGACTCAGGCTTCAGCTCTGTGACTGCATTGTTGGACGCTGATAGGTTTAGCCTCTGAGAGCTGGTCTGCAGGTCTGCCTGTAAGACATGAAATAAATTGGGATTTCACTTAAAAGAGTGTGAATAGGACAAGTGAATTAATCAATGAGAAAGAGATTGGTTAAACATGTTTCCATTGGATTTATGTATATCTGTACTGTACCTTTACTAGTATGTCCTTGACCTCCTGGGTGCTGTCATTATGCACACTAATGTAACTTGAGAAGGTCTCGCCAAGGAAAATATTTCTGTGCAGAGAACAATTGTTACGCAAGAGTCACACACAAAGACAATGGACTCACATGCCCACTGAAGAACAGAAACAAGACTATGCTTTTCGGTGAAAATGATGGCCAAAATTAAGGCTAAGTATTCCTGTGAAAGGTTGTCTTGCAAGAAATGTGATGATTCTACACTGAAACCGATCAAGAGATAAAGACAGAAATGATCGGCCAGGGGGAATGAAAGATATAAACTGCCGGTCTGATTGTTAAATGCTAGTTGTGTGTGCCTATACATGTTTCATCCTGCTCTATATGTCAAACAGTTCACTACAGTTGTTGCTGTAGTGTTATTTACCCAAAGTTCTGAGGTAGTGTGAGCATCTCTCCCAGCATTAATGCCTCTGCTCCTTTAATAGTGGATGGGTCCTCCTTCATTAGCCGACCAAACAAATCCCCTGTAGAATGCGCGCACGCACATGTACACACATGTATACACACGTGCACGCAGGCATGCACACACACAGTCACACACACAAATTACTCTCATACACTGCTTTCAGAAAGTATTCACACCCATTGACTTTTTCCACATCTGGTTGTGTTACAAAGTGGGATTAAAATGTATTTAATTGTAATTTTTGATGAATAATCTACACAGAATACTCTAATGTCAAAGTGGAAGAAAAATTCAAAAAATAAATAAATAAAATAAAACACTAATATATCTTGATTAGATAAGTATTGAACCCCTTGAGTCAATACATGTTAGTATCACCTTTGGCAGCGATTATTGCTGTGAGTCTTTTTGGGTAAGTTAACTTACTTAACTTACCCAATAACTTACTACATTTGCACACACTGTATATATATTTCATATTTTCTATTGTGTTATTGACTGTACGTTTTTGTTTATTCCATATGTAACTCTGTGTTGTTGTTTTTAATCGCACTGCTTTGCTTTATCTTGGCCAGGTTGCAGTTGTAAATGAGAACTTGATCTCAATTGGATTACCTGGTTAAATAAAAGTGAAATAAAAAAATAAAAAAATTGTACAATATAGAGTGCATTCAGATAGTTTGGTGGAGTGCTGCAGAGATGGTTGTCCTTCTGGAAGGTTCTCCCATCTCCACAGAGGAACTCTGGAGCTCTGTCAGAGTGACCATCGGGTTCTTGGTCACCTCCCTGAGCAAGGCCCTTCGCCCCGATTGCTCAGTTTGGCCGGGCGGCCAGTTCTAGGAATAGTCTTTGGTGGTTCCAAATTCCTTCCATTTAAGAATGATGGAGGCCACTGTGTTCTTGGGAACCTTCAATGCTGCAGAAAGGTTTTGGTACCCTTCCCCAGATCTGTGCCTCGACACAATCCTGTCTCAGAGCTCTACGGACAATTACTTTGACCTCATGGCTTGGTTTTTTCTCTGACATGCACTGTCAACTGTGGAACCTTATATAGACAGGTGTGTGCCTTTCCAAATCATGTCCAATCAATTGAATTTACCACAGGTGGACTCCAATCAAGTTGTAGAAGCTTCTCAAGGATGATCAATGGAAACAGGATGCACCTGATCTCAATTTTGAGTCTCATAGCAAAGGGTCTGAATACTTATGTAAATAAGGTATTTCTGTTTTTTATTTTTAATACATTTGCAAAAATGTCTAAAAACCTGTTTTTGCTTTGTCATTATGGGGTATTGTGTAGATTGATGAGGAAAACAATTAATTTCATCCATTTTAGTATAAGGCTGTAACGTAACAAAATGTGGAAAAGGTCAAGGGGTCTGAATACTTTCCGAATGCACTGTATCAAGTTGGTTGTTGACCATTGCTAGACATCGATTTTCAAGACTTGCCATAGATTTTCAAGCAGATTTAAGTCAAAACTGTAACTAGGCCACTCAGGAACTTTCAATGTCGTCTGGGTAAGCAATTCCAGTGTATATTTGGCCTTGTGTTTTAGGTAATTGTCCTGCTGAAAGATGAATTTGTCTCCCAGTGTCTGTTGGAAAGTAGACTGAACCAGGTTTTCCTCTAGGATTTTCCCTGTGCTTAGCTCGATTCCATTTATTTTGATCCTTAAAAACTCCTGGGTGATGACAAGCATAACCATAACATGATGCAGCCACCACCATGCTTGAAAATATGAAGACGGGTACTCAGTGATGAGTTGTGATGGATTTGCCCCAAACATAACGCTTTGTACTCATTACAAAACATGTATTTCTTTGCCACATTTTTTGCAATATTACTTTAGTGCCTTATTACAATTAGGATGCATGTTTTGAAATATTTTTTATTCTGTACAGGCATCCTTCTTTTCAATCTGTCATTCATGTTAGTATTGGGAAGTAACTGAAATGTTGTTTTCCATGCTTAGTTATCTACAATCACAGCCATTAAACTCTGTAACTGTTTTAAAATCACCATTGGCCTCATGGTGATATCCCTGAGCGGTTTCCTTCCTCTCCGGCAACTGAGTTAGGAAGGGCGCCAGTATCTTTGTAGTGACTGGGTGTATTGATACACAATCCAAAGTGTAATTAATAACTTCACCATGCTCAAAGGGATATTTAATGTCTGTTCTTTTTTGTTTTTTGCAATAGGTGCCCTTCTTTGCGAACCATTGGAAAAACTCCCTGGTCTTTGTGATTGAATCTGTGCTTGAAATTCACTGCTCGACGGAGGGACCTTACAGGTAATTGTACGTGTGGGATACAGAGATGGGGTAGTAATTTAAAAATCATGTTAAACAATATTATTGCACAGAGTGAGTCAATGCAACTTATTGTGACTTGTTAAGCACATTTTTACTCCTTAACTTATTTAGGCTTGCCATAACAAAAGGGTTGAATACTTATTGACTCAAGACATTTAATCTTTCATAAACACTTCTAAAAACATAATTCCACTTTGACATTATGGTGTACTGTGTGTAGATCAGTGACACAAAATCTCAATTTAATCCATTTTCAATTCATGCTGTAACATAAAATGTGGAAAAAGTCAAAAGGTGTGAATACTTTCTGATCTAGCACTGCATCTAGCTAAGTGTTGTTGAGGCACATAAAGAACTTGACACAATGCCAGCAATGTTGGACTCTATATCTATTTTTTTTTAAATCTCCAGAAATTTTCTCTGATTTAGGGCACTATGGAAACTGTCACTACCAGGTCTAATAGTCAGTCAGTCTCCTCATATGGGCCCTGTAAGTTTTGTAGCTTTAATATTGATGATCAATGTCAATGTTCTAAATCTTTGAGTGAAAGGTAGCCTTCAGAGGAGCAGCGTGGGAGATACGAGAGCTGGGTGGCATAAAAACTTTCACAAGTTATTTTATTTATCCTATATCGTGTTCTAGTCGTTCATTTCGATTTACGGCCAGATATGCCTTCATTTCATTTCTCCCCCCTGTATAAATAGCATCCCTACCCAGAAGTGTCACTGTGATTTATGGGTTCAGCAGAGTTGGGTTTCCAGCACAGCGCTCACATTGCAGTAGGGAGGCCTCCAGCAGAAGGAAAAATAAACACTGTAAATTCTCTTTAGGCCTGCACGACTAAATTTGGGAGCCGGTTAGACGGAGCCATTCCTGGGATCTCTTAGTGATTCCGTGGAGGAGGCAGATAGATGTGGCTGGCTGGCTTTATTATTGATTACCGACTTCACATATTTTCAAAGGTTAATTAATGTATTGGCTCAATTCATTTCACTGTCGTCATGCCTGGAATTTTAACTGGAGGCTTAACCCCAGTAAAGGAAAGCTTAGCTGATTTACACGTTCTCATACATATCGGTCCAATGAATATATGAATGCAGTTTTGTAATAAATAATGTTCCCATGGGTTGTGAAATGTAGAATCGTGCATCTGTTTTTCTCTCTGAGGAATACTGATTTCAAAGAGAAATATGACATGTGAATGTGTTGGTATGGACCAGGGATTTATAGCACTACATGGAAGTAGTCAGTTATATCAATGCTTTTACCATAAGCCTACTGTAGACTTGAAATTATAATATATAACATATAATATAACCCTATAATATATGCCATTTAGCAGACACTTTTATTCAAAGCGACTTCCAGTCATGTTGAGGATTATTATTTTTTAAATCTGTTTTAGAATAAGGCTGTAACGTAACAAAATGTGGAAAAAGTCAAGGGGTCTGAATACCTTCCGAAGGCACTGTATTTAGAATCACTGCTGCAAAGCAAATTGGTTAGGCCTAATAAGATTCTACAACTCTACTACATGTTGGCGGTAAAATAAATCAAGAGGCTTACCTGGGAGGTCTCTATCTTCACATGTCACTGGCATGTTAGTGAAGAGAGTGGGTTTTGTTAACCGCATCACTGTGAAAGCCAAAGGAGCAAACATAGTTCAGTTAGGCTTAGGCTAGTTTACTGCTTGCAATTTTAGATGGAAATTCCATGGGAAATCTAGACCTATCTCAAACAGCCTAGATATCCTAATGCCTGCCAGATGAGAACAGCCTCCTTTAGCGTCTTTTCCAGACCCTACTTTATTTGGATAGTCCCCTATAGGCCTAGATGGCCTATGGAAGATCAAACTATCAACAAACTAACAACTGTAACTCGCTTGCATGCAAGATGTTGCATGCAACTAGACTGCATGTGAGGCTGTGGCTAAGATTAGGTTTAGGTTAAAATAAGGGGTCTAGGGTTATTGTTTTCCCGATTAGATGGTTCAAATCAGTGGTTAGTTTCAGTTCTTTAATAGTTAGATTAGTTGAGGATCTATAAACCATATGAAGGGTACTATCCAAATAAATGTTAGAATTTCTCCTTGCCACAGCAGTCTTTCTTTGTCAGGTGTTCTCTGATTAATAATTTAGGAAAAGTTATTGTACACCCAGTCCTCTAATATGATGCTGCGTGCTGCTTATTACAATGACAATACCAAATGATAACTTGCCCTTTCATCTGTGATAATATTAGGGTAACCAGTCCTAATACATACCAGGTAGCTTGCTATTTGAATGGGTCTATCAAAATGTCTGACACTGGTGTATTCAGCATACTGTAGCTACGTTGAGGTCTCAAAGAAGTACAAATGCAAACTTTAACTTTTTGAGTGAATAGTCAAGTAGTGGACAGGTAAGAAACGCTCATCATCAGATCAACAGCATTAGGTTATTTGAGCTTGCTAACTAACTAGCAATATGGCAGAGGCTAGCTAAATACGTAGCTATACAGCTAGGAGGACATAATCCACCATTAGCTAAATAAAGGATACATTGGTTATAGTATAATGGTATAGTAGGTCGTTATAGGCGAACAACTTAGGATATAGTATGCAAATGATTAATGAATTATATATGGCAAATGATTTGACAGAATATTGTTGGCTGGCTAGCTAGCTAGTTAGCTAAGAAGGTTGGCTATTAAAAATGAACAGAAAATAGACACCGTCAACACTGCTCGATACTAGGTAGTCAGCGAGCTAGCTCGTTCATCATCTTTCAGTTACAAAGCTTATTTGACGTTAGCTTGGCAGCTAGCTTGTAAGCCAGTATTAGCTAACGTTAGCCAACTAGCTGTCAGTGTCAGATGTAAACAACCTCTTTTCAGATATCCACATAACAAAAATGTTTAACGCGACCCTACCCATTATATTGCTTAAGCACATTGTTTTATACACTGTTGCCATTTATTTAACTCAGTAAAATACCTTTTAAAGCAAGTAGATGCTCTTGTTTTGCCTGATTTACTTCCATTTTGTCTGAAGAGTTCGGTTGAACTTTCACCTGGCAATATCAGCTGACTACAGGACACGCAGAAGGACAATCTTGTGAGAGCCCTCTTGTGGTAGCATTGTAGTACACAGGTGTCACGTCAAATTGTATTTCCACATTTTCCCCATTAAAGTTATAAATACATAGACATCCTATAAAACAAATACAGCTAATTAAATAATATATTTTCAAGTGGTGTATAGGTTTGAATGCATTCAGAATCATGACAGAATGACAAAGATTTATTCAAAAGGTTATTTTCTTTATTCAGCAACTACAAATTCATTTCAAGGGAATGGTTTTCATTTGTCTACCACTTTGGGATGAAAAATAATGCCTGAATACCGGTAAGCAATAAACTACACAGTAGCTTTGTTTAGTCATTTTCTCATACAAGGCAAATTCATAGGCTTGAGATGTACTGTTGTATCCGATATGATTTGTAGGCTATGTACTGTATACATCTTATGCAAGTTAATGAGCAACACATTGTATAACAAACTACACTTGCATAGTGTGACACGTGGCTGTCTCGTCAAGACATAGATGATGGTTAGTTACCTCCAGTCTGTAAAAAATAATGTTTAGTAGAACAATGGAATCAACTGTTGAACAAACAAGCTTCATGAAAACATTGGAACACATTGCAAAAACTTCAGTCAGCACAAAAATAACATGAATAGGTTATTTTCTTTGAATAGGTCTAATTAATTCACTGCAGACCTTCATCAAGCTTCTAAAACAGAGCTAATGTACAGAGCAGACTGGTAAACAGTAAGTCAGTAGGTTTAGCGGAGTAGCATTACATACAAGTACAGCTTACACACTGCAGGGAGTGAGGAGGATGCATTTACTTTCACAGCCATTTTAGGGACTGGTCTCTCAGTTGAGGATTTCCCACACTGCTGGCTCAGTCTGCAGCAGCCTATTAGAACCCCTGGTGGGAAAGGTACCCTCCCCTAAAGAAACTCACAAGTACTGACAGGAAAAGACTGGAGAGAGAGAGAGAGAAAAAAACAGATGAGAGTAACAAAGACCACTGTCTCTATAATCTCAACAGATGCGTTGCTGTTTGGCTTCACTCTCCCCCCCGGGTTCCTCTTTGGGGCTGCGCTTCCTTGACGACGATTGCTCCTCCCCCTCTTTGTATTCAAGGGGTTCTGTAGCATTCTTGAAGGCCTCTGCCCCAGAGTCAACACTGTCCAGCTCAGGGACCGATGATTCCTCATCCTTCCCAGCCACCAAACATACATCACCTGATATTGGTACCAAGTCCCCTGGGTCAGGGCCCATCTGAACCACCACCATGGTCAATGCTTCTTCCTCCCTCTCTACCCTTGTTTCAGTCTGTTCCTCCTCAAAGAGGGCCATCTCCCCGGGGTGAGTGGCTCTCTCACCAACCAGGCTGACTGTGAGCTCTGTGTGGCCGTTGACAGGCGCTGTTCTCTCAGCCTGGCGCAGAAGTTCTGTCCTCAGAGAGGCTAGCTGGGTGTGGATGAGAGTGCGGTGTTGCACCTCCAGACTCTTAACCTGCCAAACAGAAACGACTACTATTACTAGAGAACGTTTATTATGTAATTATTACCCCAGAATGTCCATTATTCCAGAGGAGGATTCAGAGGGGATTCGTTTTTTCCAAAGTGCCCCCTGTAATTTTTTTTCTCTCAATAAATTGACAGTTTTTTTTCTAGGCATGAAGATATTTCAACAAGTCCAGGCAATAACAGGGCTACACTGATAACTCAAGCTTGGTTCCCACGTTTCTAAACCATGCCAACCATTTTTGGTATAGTGTCGCCATAATATTTGAATTGAGGAACTGTGATCATAATCATTAGGATATTTTAGCGATCCGCAGTAGAAGAGCTAAACAGCGCACTTGCACTTGATGAGTTGTTAGGCTATGAATGAGAACGTAAACGTGTCATTTCCAAACGTTAAGCTCAGTTTTATGCTGCTTTGCGATCTATTAACAGCAAGGGTTGCATTAAATAGCCGCAATATTATTAATAATGCATTTGACGATGTTCAATTCATTCGCACAAAACGTATTAACAAAAGCATTCACTGTTAAAGTTGATACATGTAGGCCCTTCATATATAGGCTATGCGCAGCACTTCGTTCAATTTATCGAATCAGTTATTGTTTACTTGCTCAAACCGCGAGCAACACCTGTCAAACTCAGACATTTTTCTCAAAACACAGGGAAATCGATTCGCACAGGACTAATATTATCAGAGGACTTAGGAGTTTGCCAAAAAACTGTAGATTATTCTTATTAGTATTACTAGAGAATGTTGGTTATGTAATTATTATTATTTCATCAGACCAGATGATCTTGTATCTCATGGTCTGAGAGTCCTTTAGGTGCCTTTTGGCAAACTCCAAGCGGGCTGTCATGTGCCTTTTACTGAGGAGTGGCTTCCGTCTGGCCACTCTACCATAAAGGCCTGATTGGTGGAGTGCTGCAGAGATGGTTGGCTTCTGGAAGGTTCTCCCATCTCCACAGCGGAACTCTGGAGCTCTGTCAGTGACCATCGGGTTCTTGGTCACCTCCCTGACCAAGGCCCTTCTCCCCCAATTGCTCAGTTTGGCCAGGCGGCCAGCTCTAGGAAGAGTCTTGGTGGTTCCAAACTTCTTCCATTTAAGAATGACGGAGGCCACTGTGTTCTTGGGGACCTTCAATGCTGCAGAAATGTTTTAGTACCCTTCCCCAGATCTGTGCCTCGACACAATCCACCCTCGGAGCTCTACAGACAATTCCTTCGACCTCATGGCTTGGTTTTTGCTCTGACATGCACTGTGGGACCTTAAATAGACAGGTGTGTGCCTTTCCAAATCATGTCCAATCATTTGAATTTACCACAGGTGGACTCCAATCAAGTTGTAGAAACATCTCAAGGATGATCAATGGAAACAGGATGCGCCTGAGCTCAATTTCGAGTCTCATAGCAAAGGGTCTGAATACTTATGTAAATAAGGTATTTCTGTTTTTTATTTGTAATACATTTGTCATTATGGGGTATTGTGTGTAGATTGATGAGGAAAATGTTTTATTTAATCAATGTTAGAATAAGGTTGTAACGTAACAAAATGTGGAAAAAGTCAAGCGGTCTGAATACTTTCCAAATGCACTGTATATATATTATTTTTTGCTACTGCTCGACTAAAGAAATCTCGGTCGACCAACTGCCTATCGACCAAACAATCGACCAGTCGACTTAAATGGGGTCAGCCCTACAGGAAACAGAACCGAAAACAGGAAAATAATGAACATTTTCAAGGAACAGAAACTGAACCAGGAATGAAAGTGATCCATACTGTTCAGGAACAGAACCGATATTTTAAAAGCATGGGAACCGGTTAATAACTTTATTTTACGTTCCAGGCATTTTGTTTTGGCCCACCAAAAAACGCAACAAAGCGCCTATGCAAACCCTCACTCTGTCACTCAGAAACTTATTCCAGTGTCTGCCTGCAAGATGGAAATCTTTGCCAGTGTGTCTGTGTTTTGTCTACCTGCCCCACCCCCTTCCGACGCATAGGCTACTGTACTGACGTTACTATCGTGATTCAGAAGATAGGCAGAGATTTTTAATTAGCTAGAGAAGAATGGATTAACTTGTTCAATGCTAGTTAAGGATAACATAGGCCTAGTTATCACGTTTCACATTGTATTTATTAACTTCAAAAAGGTAAGACGTATTTTTTATTCTGGTGCCGCTCTGCACACACAAGCTTGTTAGCTTGCTAGCTAGCTAGCTAGCTCAAAGGACATTCAAAGTTCCTCCATAAAAGCCGCTCCTTCTAGGTATAATTCTGTGGACCTAATTGAAATAATGCATGTCATAACAAGATGCCCAGCACTTCAAGCCGCCTCCTCAACCCTCTCTCGATCTCTCACCACCCGCAAACTTTCAGTTGCATCTTGTGCTATAGTTTACACTGGTCTGTCCATCACGCATGTAAACAACTAGCTTGCCTGCTCTTCACTGATTGGTGAAGTAATTTAATGAGCTAAATGTAAAAAACTGTTGATTTCACAGGTTGAAAAAGGAACAGAAAGGAACAATATAAACCGGTACTTTTTTTGTTTCGAACCAGTTCAGAACTTTATTTTGCTGGTCAGACAGTGGAATGGAACGAAAAAAATAGTGGTTCTGTTCAGAACGAAACGATTGGGAAAACATTTCTGTTCAACAATCACTTAGGATCATCACTACAGTAGCAGTTAAAAGCATCCACTCACCAGCTGATCGATTCTCTGTTGGCTGTTCTCTGCAGAGCGGTACAGCTTCAGCTCCTCAAACATCTTGATGTTGGTCTGCACCACACTGGCCACCTGGGGGCACCTCAGCACAGGGGAGACAACAACACGGCCACATCAGAATGGTCTGTTTTCCATTCCACCAAGAATGTAAAATACAGGAAGGGCGGAGGGCGGTGCATTTACTAGAAGAGACATAAGGTAAGCGCTTTTAACTCCTATCTATCATTCACACAAATACACATTTTGAGAAGATCCACATACAAATCAGTTTCCTCCACAAAAAAGAGCTATCCTGATAAGTTAACCATGTCTTTGCTGCTCCATACTGTGGTCAGTGTACTTGCTGATCGAGATTGTGTATCCTTTCCCCGGACAATTGCTGAATAATTCTGGCCTATACGTTTTTGAAATACCTAAGAGTGTTTTGCTACATTTATTGAGTGACTCCCCACTCAAACAACTCTTAATTTCCACACTTTCTTTCCCAGTTAAACACTCGTAAACATCAGTGCAAAGCCAGGAAAGTCGGAGTGTTGAAAACCATGGGTGTTTTGCCATTTACTAACATTGCGTGCCTGGGGTCTATAAATGTAAGTATCTCTGCCTTCAGCCTTCTGTCAGTGTGTCTGCCCTCAAGTCTCTGGCCAGCCAGTGCACACGCAGGGTTTGCTTCTGGGTGCCAAGAATACCAGTTCCTGAACCAGGTCATAGAGTCTCGGCATCTCTGCCTCCACCCACCTCTCCAATCGGCCTCTCCTGCCACTAAACATGTTAAAAATGAATACATATCTATTCTTCACACAGAGACAAATTATGACAAGTTCATCATACAAATCAGTTTATCCTCCACAAAAAGAGCTATCATGTCAAGTTACCCATCTCTCTTTGTACCTGGTGGTCTTTGAGATGCCCTCAGTCTCCTCGCCATGCCTCCCCTCTCCTGCTGCCACTAAACATGTTAAAAATGACCTAATATCTATCCTTCACACAAAGTTCACCATACAAATCATCTTATCCTACATAAAAAAAGCTATCTTGTTGTGATAACCATCTCTCTTAGCTGTTCCATACTGTGTGATGGTCAGTGTACTTGGTCTTTGAGTCTGCATCTCAGCTCTCAAGTCTGCTGTTAGTGTACCTGTTCGTTAAGTCTGTGGATCTCTGCCCTTAGCCTCTTCTCCATTGCGTCCTTCTCCTGCCGCAGGGTCACGTTCTGCTGGTGGAGCTCCAGCAGATGCTTCTCTACATGTAGGGCCTGCTCCAGACTCTCCCCGCCCTGCAATGGACAACCACAGGTACACCAATGTTAGTATCATGGCATGAAGGGGGTAGAGGGGTAACAGAGGTTAGCATTAGGACATGCAGGCTGCTTGCATAACAGCTAAAGTATGTAGATTGATGAGAGATGTAATTAAAATTGGTAAGAAAAACATTGAATGTGAGAACTTACTAAAGCACAGTATTAGCAAGATAACTCAAAGAGACGCTGTTACCTGTTCAGAGATAATGCTGGCCGCCTCCTCGTAGATCAGGTTGCCTCCCTGTCCATCTGGGTCCATGAGAACCAGCGTCTGGGTCTGGTCCAGGGTATGCTGGGAAAGCCCCACCTCCTCTTCGGCCGCCACTAGGATCCCGTTGTTCACCCTGCTGTCCTTCAACCAGAGCAGGCACCAATCACCATACAATGACCAGACACAAGTTACTTGACATATACACCTCCTGTGATGGGCTCCAGATGAACCTTTTTAACACCGGTGACACTACCGCTATAGAAAATTCAGCAACACCAATAGAAACTTTGATAGCACAAGCAACAGGCCATGTTGTACAGATCACACAATACAACATGACATACAGTGCATTCGGAAAGTATTCAGACCCCTTGACTTTTTCCACATTTTGTTACATTACAGCCTTTTTCTAAAATTGATTAAATAAATGTTTTTCCTCATCAATCTACACACAATACCCCATAATGACAAAGCGAAAACAGGTTTCTTGAAATGTTAGCAAATTTATTGAAAATAAAAAACTGAAATACTTTATTTACGTAAGTGTTCAGACCCTTTGCTATGAGACTCGAAATTGAGCTCAGGTGCATCCTGTTTCCATTGATCATCCTTGAGATGTTTCTACAACTTGATTGGAGTCCACCTGTGGTAAATTCAGTTGATTGGACATGATTTAGAAAGGCACACACCTGTCTATATAAGGTCCCACAGTTGACAGTGCATGTCAGAGCAAAAACCAAGCCATGAGGTCAAAGGAATTGTCTGTAGAGCTCCAAGACAGGATTGTGTAGAGGCACAGATCTGGGGAAGGTTACCAAAAAATGTCTGCAGCATTGAAAGTCCCCAAGAACACAGTGGCCCCCGTCATTCTTAAATGGAAGAAGTTTGGAACCACCAAGACTCTTCCTAGAGCTGGCCGCCTGGCCAAACTGAGCAATCGGTGGAGAATTGGCTTTGTCAGGAAGGTGACCAAGAACCCGATTGTCACTCTGACAGAGCTCCAGAGTTCCTCTGTGGAGATGGGAGAAACTTCCAGAAGGACAACCATCTCTGTAGCACTCCACCAATCAGGCCTTTATGGTAGAGTGGCCAGACGGAAGCCACTCTTCAGTAAAAGGCACATGACAGCCCGCTTGGAGTTTGCCAAAAGGTACCTAAATGACTCTCAGACCATGAGAAACAAGATTCTCTGGTCTGATGAAACCAAGATTGAACTCTTTGGCCTGAATGCCAAGCGTCATGTCTGGAGGAAACCGTGCACCATCCCTACGGTGAAACATGGTGGTGGCAGCATCATGCTGTGGGGATGTTTTTCAACGGCAGGGACTGGGAGACTAGTCAGGATTGAGGGAAAGATGAACGGAGCAAAGTACAGAGAGATCCTTGATGAAAACCTGCTCCAGAACACTCAGGACCTCAGACTGGGGTGAAGGTTCACCTTCCAACAGGACAACGACCCTAAGCACACAGCCAAGACAACGCAGGAGTGGCTTTGGGACAAGTCTCTGAATGTCCTTGAGTGGCCCAGCCAGAGCCCGGACTTGTACCCAATCGAACATCTCTGGAGAGACCTGAAAATAGCTGTGCAGCGACGCTCCACATCCAACCTGACAGAGCTTGAGAGGATCTGCAGAGAAGAATGGGAGAAACTCCCCACATACAGGTGTGCCAAGCTTGTAGCGTCATACCCAAGAAGACTTGAGGCTGTAATCGCTGCCAAAGGTGCTTCAACAAAGTACTAATTTAAGGGTTTGAATACTTATGTAAATGTGATATTTCCGTTTTTTTAAATAAAAAAAAAATATATATATATAAAATAAATAAAATAAAATAAATTGGTCATTTAGCAGACGCTCTTATCCAGAGCGACTTACAGGAGCAATTAGGGTTAAGTGCCTTGCTCAATGGCACATCGACAGATTTTTCACCTAGTCGGCTCGGGGATTAGAACCAGCGACCTTATATATATAGATGTGCATCTATCCCTTTCAAGACGATTTGATACGCATCTAGGTACATGGGCGCGGATACAGGAATGATACGTTTTAATTTGAAACGATTTGATGTGATTCGGTTTGATTAGAGGTTCGATGCGATAAGATTCGATGCACTAACAACTGTTGCATAAACACATTCATTTTCCATTCTAAATTCAAATCTGCTGCTGATGGAGCTCATGAGCTGGATCAACCCCCCCCCCCCCCCACACACACACACACACACACTTTTGATCTAAAATCACCACTCACTCACTAATTAATTAGTCATTTTTTGCTAATTAAAGGTGTTAGAGTTGTAATCTATCAATACTTATCTATAAACATTTGCTATGACATAGCCAATGAATATATAGCACAACTTTGGATTTCACCTCATAATTGAATGGTTTAGACCGTTTAGTTTTGACAGACTCAGGGTGAGCTTCTCTTGCTTCGCCCATGCAGTGCGGGTAGCAAAATTGATTGCTGTCCTCGTTATGAAATTATCAACTTTACCCTGTTTATCTAAAAACGACCTTATATACTAATTGTTTCAGGCTAAACTACCAAACCTATTACTGATGGTGAACCTGAAAAATCTAAATTCATCTAATGTAAGCCCCGATCAGCATGTATAGCTAGATGAGAGCTGTGTCTCTGGCGGTAGCTTAGGCTACTTTTATTTTATAAACACAATTTTCAACAGCACATTTTATCAAAATAACCTAGCAAATTACATTAGTTGTCACTCAACTAATAAAGGCTAATATTGCGCAAGCCATTTTACAAACATTTGAATACTGAAGGTGATGCGCAGATGTGCCAAATCAGCAATAGGTCTACCTCTTGTTTGTCAGCGCACAAAGCAGCACACAGTGCGCAGTTTGACTTGGCTACTGATATTGCCTGGGGTTGTTCTGCATGCAAAATGACTTGTAAATAAATAATAATAATAATAATAATAATAATATGCCATTTAGCAGACGCTTTTATCCAAAGCGACTTACAGTCATGTGTGCATACATTTTTACGCATGGGTGGTCCCGGGGATCGAACCCACTACCCTGACGTTACAAGCGCCATGCTCTACCAATTGAGCTACAAATGACATGCTTAGCTCGACACTGAAGGAGAGGACGCAGTTCTCACAAAAGATTAGAGGTATTTTCGGAGGGTAGAAAGTCATTTGAACAACAACAAAATTGTGAACCGGCAATTCGTAACATTTGAATCTATTTTCTGACCGATGCATGCTACATTTGGAACGGTTTGGGGTACTGCGGACCGATGCAAAAATATCTTAAACATTTGAACCGGAGACTGATATCTGTGAATTCTTACATCCCTACTCTCCACATTTACCCACCACAAATCATGAGACATATATGAAACCTTGGGTTCCACAGTGAGCAGAGTCTCCGTGTTGGCGACTGGCTGGGCCATGATCGTCCCCATGTCGCCCCCTTCCACCTCAGAGCCCATACACACTTCCAGCCCTCCATAGGCTTTAGGGTGGGCTTCCGGACTCTGGTCATAATACTGTCGGCTGTTCACTTCCTGAAAGCACAGGGATGGGATTGTGAGATATCTGGCTGGGTCCGTATTCACAGATTCTCAGAGTAGGAGAACTAATCAACTATTAGAATTCAGGACTCTTATTGACTATGATTTAAAAGGCAAAAATGGATCCTAGATCAGCACTACTACTCAGACTCTTTTTGTATATACAGCGAGGGAAAAAAGTATTTGATCCCCTGCTGATTTTGTACGTTTGCCCACTGACAAAGAAATGATCAGTCTATAATTTTAATGGTAGGTTTATTTGAACAGTGAGAGACAGAATAACAACAAAAAAATCCTGAAAAACAAACACGGCGAGTTGAGTTGATGCCAAAGAGCTCCATTTTGGTCTCATCTGACCACAACACTTTCACCCAGTTCTCCTCTGAATCATTCAGATATTCATTGGCAAACTTCAGACGGGCATGTATTTGTGCTTTCTTGAGCAGGGGGACCTTGTGGGCGCTGCAGGATTTCAGTCCTTCACGGCGTAGTGTGTTACCAATTGTTTTCTTGGTGACTATGGTCCCAGCTGCCTTGAGATCATTGACAAGATCCTCCCGTGTAGTTCTGGGCTGATTCCTCACCGTTCTCATGATCATTGCAACTCCACGAGGTGAGATCTTGCATGGAGCCCCAGGCCAAGGGAGATTGACAGCTCTTTTGTGTTTCTTCCATTTGCGAATAATCGCACCAACTGTTGTCACCTTCTCGCCAAGATGCTTGGCGATGGTCTTGTAGCCCATTCCAGCCTTGTGTAGGTCTACAATCTTGTCCCTGACATCCTTGGAGAGCTCTTTGGTCTTGGCCATGGTGGAGAGTTTGGAATCTGATTGATTGATTGCTTCTGTGGACAGGTGTCTTTTATACAGGTAACAAGATGAGATTAGGAGCACTCCCTATAAGAGTGTGCTCCTAATCTCAGCTTGTTACCTGTATAAAAAGACACCTGGGAGCCAGAAATCTTTCTGATTGAGAGGGGGTCAAATACTTATTTACCTCATTAAAATGCAAATCAATTTATAACATTTTTGACATGCGTTTCTCTGGATTTTGTTGTTGTTATTCTGTCTCTCACTGTTCAAATAAACCTACCATTAAAATTATAGACTGATCATTTCTTTGTCAGTGGGCAAACGTACAAAATCAGCAGGGGATCCAAAACATTTTTCCCTCACTGTATGGAGAATACGGGCCCTGTCTATTTACTCTTCATACTCAGTGTTCAATGGTGAATGTATGTTCTATTACAGTAGTTTGGTGGTATTACCTGTGTGACCTGTATCTGGAAGGTGGTGTGGGGGTTCCGGAAGTGGGTCTTATAGTGTTTGATGGCCTCGTCTCGGCGGTTGAAGCCGTTTCGGCAGCGGTAGCAGTGCCAGTGGGCCCCCTTGAACCTCTTCTCCCCTTTGATGGTGCCCACGATCTCACAGTGGTTGCAGCATCGAAGCACTTTTAGGCCTGAAGGGTAGACAAAAAGCTTGCTGTAAAGTTGTAGGTCCCATGTATTTTCTAGCAATCGATAAAAGAGCCTGCCTGATTATTTCCTTAAAAATTCTAACCGATTTGAGTGAAAGATCTCTCACTGAAACCTTTTGGCAAAGTCATCCTACCACTGAATCCAGCATCTGATGTGTACTTTTATGTATGTGTTGAAAAGCCTCTCACCAGCAAAGTCGATGCCCTTGTCAACATGTTTAATGCGGTAGTGAGCCCGTAGGATAAGAGGGTCATGATAGGCCTCGACCACTGTGCAGAGAGGACAGTGCATATGAGTGCCCTTGTCCTTGCCTGAGCAGTTGTCGTCCTGACACAGCACTGGGTTGTAGGTGTGCTCTGTGCCCCTGATCCGCACCGAAGGGTGGGCCTGAAACAGCACGGCAAGGAGGTCAATTCAGGCTAGACTGTGAGGATACAGTGGGGAAAAAAAGTATTTAGTCAGCCACCAATTGTGCACGTTCTCCCACTTAAAAAGATGAGAGAGGCCTGTCATTTTCATCATAGGTACACGTCAACTATGACAGACAAATTGAGAAAAGAAAATCCAGAAAATCACATTGTAGGATTTTTAATGAATTTATTTGCAAATTATGGTGGAAAATAAGTATTTGGTCACCTACAAACAAGCAAGATTTCTGGCTCTCACAGACCAGTAACTTCTTCTTTAAGAGGCTCCTCTGTCCTCCACTCGTTACCTGTATTAATGGCACCTGTTTGAACTTGTTATCAGTATAAAAGACACCTGTCCACAACCTCAAACAGTCACACTCCAAACTCCACTATGGCCAAGACCAAAGAGCTGTCAAAGGACACCAGAAACAAAATTGTAGACCTGCACCAGGCTGGGAAGACTGAATCTGCAATAGGTAAGCAGCTTGGTTTGAAGAAATCAACTGTGGGAGCAATTATTAAGAAATGGAAGACATACAAGACCACTGATAATCTCCCTCGATCTGGGGCTCCACGCAAGATCTCACCCCGTGGGGTCAAAATGATCACAAGAACGGTGAGCAAAAATCCCAGAACCACACGGGGGGACCTAGTGAATGACCTGCAGAGAGCTGGGACCAAAGTAACAAAGCCTACCATCAGTAACACACTACGCCACCAGGGACTCAAATCCTGCAGTGCTAGACGTGTCCCCCTGCTTAAGCCAGTACATGTCCAGGCCCGTCTGAAGTTTGCTAGAGTGCATCCAGAAGAGGATTGGGAGAAAGTCATATGGTCAGATGAAACCAAAATATAACTTTTTGGCAAAAACTCAACTTGTCGTGTTTGGAGGACAAAGAATGCTGAGTTGCATCCAAAGAACACCATACCTACTGTGAAGCATGGGAGTGAAAACATCATTCTTTGGGGCTGTTTTTCTGCAAAGGGACCAGGACGACTGATCCGTGTAAAGGAAAAATGAATGGGGCCATGTATCGTGAGATTTTGAGTGAAAACCTCCTTCCATCAGCAAGGGCATTGAAGATGAAACGTGGCTGGGTCTTTCAGCATGACAATGATCCCAAACACACCGCCCGGGCAACGAAGGAGTGGCTTCGTAAGAAGCATTTCAAGGTCCTGGAGTCTCCAGATCTCAACCCCATAGAAAATCTTTGGAGGGAGTTGAAAGTCCGTGTTGCCCAGCGACAGCCCCAAAACATCACTGCTCTAGAGGAGATCTGCATGGAGGAATGGGCCAAAATACCAGCAACAGTGTGTGAAAACCTTGTGAAGACTTACAGAAAACGTTTGACCTGTGTCATTGCCAACAAAGGGTATATAAGAAAGTATTGAGAAACTTTTGTTATTGACCAAATACTTATTTTCCACCATAATTTGCAAATAAATTCATTAAAAATCCTACAATGTGATTTTCTGGAATTTTTTTTCTCATTTTGTCTGTCATAGTTGACGTGTACCTATGATGAAAATTACAGGCCTCTCTCATCTTTTTAAGTGGGAGAACTTGCACAATTGGTGGCTGACTAAATACTTTTTTTCCCCACTGTAGCTGTTGCTGCAGCAAGTTAATCCTTATATGATTGTCATTTTAACAACATATTTACTGTAGTTAGTAGCTATATTATTTTATCACTAGTTACATACTGACCTGAATGACAACAATCATGTTCAGTTAGGTGCACTAGCGGTCTATGATTTCTGCTAGAAGATTATTTGCTTTCGACTAGTGGTAAATAGGTGCGTTAGACTGAAGGTCAACCCATGCATGAAATAAACTACTGAGCCTATCCCCTCAGGCCTCAAGTCCAAGTTTACACACAATTTTATCATAGCCATTTGAACATTACAGAACTATCTAGCTACAGTGCAGACTACTTAATGGCATTTGTTTGGACATTAAAGGGGCAATCAGCAATCGCTACATCTATTTTTGGACATAAATTAATTATATGTACCCATTGATTCTTGCAGAATATAACTTAGAAATGCCTCATGAGCTTAGTTAAACTTCGTACCCCATCAGAACTGAAAATATAAGCTTGTTTTACTCCAATGTTTGTAAACAAAGTAAATGTAAACAATCACTATATAGCCTCAAAACATTTGTTAAAACGATCATTTTGATATCATTGATGGTCAGTCCATAGCTGTCTATGGATTTGAGAGTGGTTACATTTCTCCAGACCCATCCCTCAGTAAAAAAAAAAATCGAAACTGGGGCGGGGACCCGGCTTTGTTATTGTTTCTACTATTGGCGTTTAAATAGCTTGTTAATTAATAGCTTTACAGGCGCTGGGTTGGATGCAAGAAGCAGTTTCAGCTAGCTAGCTAATATTTTAGCTAGATAAATACTGCCCATCCATCATGTGGCCTTCAGGACTCGACTTGAGACGCTTTAGAAATGTAACTGATCAAGCGACATACTTACAATAAAAGCCGACATTTTATCTGCTGAAGTTGGTACTTTTGTTGAAACACATTCAGGTAAAGTTATCGGTTAATTTTGGTTCAAACAATCGAGCCAAATCGCATGTTGTGAAGTGTTGTGTGTTGTTCGTCATCTGTGCACTCGTTGTGCTTGCAATGGCGGCGAACATGTACGTGCTTACGTCGACATAGCGTCGTTTTTTTCTGTCGTATTTAAAAATAATAATGAATTGAGCATGGAGAGTTTCTAAACCCAGAGGCGCAACATAGCGAGGCTTGCGAAACAGCAAGCAGGCCGGGGTTAGGGGTTTGAGAAGACAATAAGATAAGTAAAAAAAATGATTCCTTAGTTGTACATTTTCTTGAAAAATAAAGGCACGACCTAGATTCAAGCCAAGGTCTTAAGTCGCTAAACATGTCATTACTCCAACCTCGTGAAAGTGACAAACTGACACGTTTGAATTTTCGTAAAAAACAACTTTATATCGAAGGAGTGCCTTTGATTTGACTGCTTGCACATGCGCAGTTCGGCGTCAGACGACCGTTAGACCCGATTACGTGTTTCTGCGCATGAGTTTAGCTAGCCAAGGTCACCATGACATCGCCTACAAGCGTGTTCGGGGATTTCTATTGGAGAAGCAGTTTCCTCATATCTTTATACTAAACCATCTCTGTATAGAGCTTGCCAGTTTGTAGTCCTAAAACCCGGAAATGAGTTACATCATGGTTCATTCAGCTATCCCTATGGAGAAAATTTATGGGGAAAGAATAGGGTTTTCGAATAAACACCGAAAATACGGTCTGAGGTTAACACAGGCTTAGGAGATCTTATACGTTTTGTTCTATAAGATAATAGCAGTCAGTTAACGTAACCTTTATGAATTATGAAGCCTTAATGTGCTTTTCTTATTAAATAAATTCTTCAGAATTCACAAAAACTGACGTTAGCTGATGAAGATCATCTCATAAAACAAAACGTATAAGATCTCCTAAGCCTGTGTTTCCCACAGACCTTATTTTTGGCGTTTATCCAAAAACACTACAAAACACCATTTATTTTCACCATAGAACTCCACAGAGGATGTGTCATAATACCCATAAAACCTAGCAGTCAAACACGGAAATGGCTCCAATCGGGTTTCCACCATGATTTTTTTCCATAGCAGATTTTTGAAACACTTCAAATTAAGTATGTGTTTGGTGTAGGCTTACCTTGGCGTGATGTTTTGATAACCCTATAATTCTATCTTGGACAAGTTGAGTTTTATCAACATAATCGCCTCAATTTAATCTAAAAAAATTGAAATGCTAATTAGCAACAGAGAAGACCTCATACAAGACTACAAATTCCTGCATGTCATCTCTAGCTGACACTGTCAACTACACATCACCAGCGAGACCTTCTGTGCCCAATCCATGTGGAATCCATGTGCTGTATTGAAATTAATTGAATAAATTGACTCTCTATGTCCCCTATCCTCCCGGCCGGCTCGGTCCTCCCCTCCTGCTCCATGGCTTGACGACTCATTGCGAGCTCACAGAACAGGGCTCCGGGCAGCCGAGCGGAAATGGAGGAAAACTAGACTCCCTGCGGACCTGTCATCTTTTCAGTCCCTCCTCTCTACATTTTCTTCCTCTGTTTCTGCTGCTAAAGCCACTTTCTACCACTCTAAATTTCAAGCCTCTGCCTCTAACCCTAGGAAGCTCTTTGCCACCTTCTCCTCCCTGCTGAATCCTCCTCCTCCTCCCCCTCCCTCTCTGTGGATGACTTCGTCAACCATTTTGAAAAGAAGGTTGATGACATCCTATCCTCATTTATTAAGTCAAATGACACCGCTGGTCCTGCTCACACTGTCCTACCCTATGCTTTGACTTCTTTCTCCCCTCTCTCTCCAGATGAAATCTTGCGACTTGTGACGGCCGGCCGCCCAACAACCTGCCCGCTTGACCCTATCCCCTCCTCTCTTCTCCAGACCATTTCCGGAGACCTTCTCCCTTACCTCACCTCGCTCATCAACTCATCCTTGACCACTGGCTATGTCCCTTCCGTCTTCAAGAGAGCGAGAGTTGCACCCCCTCCTCAAAAAACCTACACTCGATCCCTCCGTTCTCAACAACTACAGACCAGTATCCCTTCTTTCTTTTGTTGTGCCGTCTCTAGCCAACTCTCCTGCTATCTCTCTCAAAATGACCTTCTTGATCCAAACCAGTCAGGTTTCAAGACTGGTCATTCAACTGAGACTGCTCTTCTCTGTGTCACAGAGGCTCTCCGCACTGCTAAAGCTAACTCTCTCTCCTCTCTGCTGCCTTTGATACTGTGAACCATTAGATCCTCCTCTCCACCCTCTCCGAGTTGGGCATCTCCGGCACTGCTCACTCTTGGATTGCGTCCTACCTAACAGGTCGCTCCTACCAGGTGGCGTGGCGAGAATCTGTCTCCGCACCATGTGCTCTCACCATTGGTGTCCCCCAGGGCTCAGTTCTAGGCCCTCTCCTATTCTCTCTATACACCAAGTCACTTGGCTCTGTCATATCCTTACATGGTCTCTCCTATCATTGCTACGCAGATGACACACAATTAATTGTCTCCTTTCCCCCTTCTGATAACCAGGTGGCGAATCGCATCTCTCCATGTCTGGCAGACATATCAGCGTGGATGTCGGATCACCACCTCAAGCTGAACCTCGGCAAGACGGAGCTGCTCTTCCTCCCGGGGAAGGACTGCCCGCTCCATGATCTCGCCATCACGGTTGACAAATCCATTGTGTCCTCCTCCCAGAGTGCAAAGAACCTTGGCGTGACCCTGGACAACACCCTGTCGTTCTCCGCTAACATCAAAGCGGTGACCCGATCCTGCAGGTTCATGCTCTAAAACATTCGCAGAGTACGACCCTACCTTACACAGAAAGCGGCACAGGTCCTAATCCAGGCACTTGTCATCTCCCATCTGGATTACTGCAACTCACTGTTGGCTGGGCTCCCTGCCTGTGCCATTAAACCCTTACAACTTATCCAGAACGCTGCAGCCCGTCTGGTGTTCGACCTTCCCAAGTTCTCCCATGTCACCCTGGCTCCTCCGCACACTCCACTGGCTTCCAGTTGAAGCTCGCATCTACTACAAAACCATGGTGCTTGCCTACGGAGCTGTGAGGGGAACGGCACCTCCTTACCTTCAGGCCCTGATCAGACCCTACACCCAAATGAGGGCACTACATTCATCCACCTCTTGCCTGCTAGCCCCCCTACCTCTATGGAAGCACAGTTCCCGCTGTTGAATGCACCAATTTGTAAGTCGCTCTGGATAAGAGCGTCTGCTAAATGACGTAAATGTAATAGTGTTGAACTTCTTCCGTCCCCTTTCTCTCTCTCTTAGCTAGCCACTGACTACACTTTAGCTAGTAGATCCGAAAATTATTTTGTTTTACTTAGCCTAGATTGTTTGTACAGTATGTCGACTTTGGTGTCTATTTCAGACCTTATGGCATTTGTCAAGGATGAGCATGAGCATTAAACAGGGAGAAGACCACTGTAAGCCTGGCCATGTGGAGTAGTGCAGCTATAGTGATGGGCAATTCACCAGTTTGGTTAGGGCCAGCATGAGGGATAAAATGTATCCTGTGTCGGTGAGTGTCGCTATTAAGTAAAGTTTGAGCATCTTAGCAATACAATGTGTTCTATACAGCTGTCAACATTCTACAAGGAATAATCAATTATATAATAATTAACCAGATTACCCTGGATATCAGACTTAGATGAGTGATGACAGTTCTAGAATGTTGTCATTGCTGAGAATTAATCTAAAAATCTATTGACATATTCACATTCAGTATTTTTGAATTTATTGTTTAGACATCCAGAGAGAAATCTTCAAAGGCACAGTATTTACTTTTTAGGAGTGGTCTGTCAAAGAGCAGTAGTTCCCAACTTTTTCTGTTACTGTACCACCAACTGAATTTTGCTCTGCCTGGAGCACCCCCGAAGTATTCCCTCATGTAAATTTTTACCAGTAGGCCTATGGTCTCATGAGTCATCTCAAGTACCCCCTGTGGATAGGCCAAGTACCCTCAGGGGTCCTAGTACCTCTGGTTGGGAACCAATGTCATGAAGCTACAGTGAGGGAAAAAAGTATTTGATCCCCTGCTGATTTTGTACGTTTGCCCACTGACAAAGACACGATCAGTCTGTAATTTAAATGGTAGGTTTATTTGAACAGCAGGGGATTAAATACTTTTTTCCCTCACTGTATATTCATTCACACAGTCTAAATTTGCATGATCCTTCCCATTGTATTTGATAAGTCAAGTGATAAAATCCCAAGTTATCAATTAAAAGTTTATGGAAAAACTGCACTAGTCCTCATATGAAAAGTATAGAAAAGTACTGATCCCATTATTTATCTTGTATATGTGTATAGTTGTTGTTTCAATGTTGTTTTTATATACCCAATGTTGTCCGACACAGATCCTGGATACAGATCGCTGCAGTATGTTATCACCGCATTAGGTGCAACTCCCAGGAGTAGCTTGAAGGAGTGCATTGAACGGTACACAGAGTAGGTTTGCTTCTGCAGATACATCTGACTTGGAGTAGCAACTTCTACGTCGTAAAGTCAATGACCATCCAGTTAGCACATCAAACCTTAAAGACAGGAAAGCAATGTGATTGGCAGCAGAGACCCGGTAAGACCCTCCCTCGTCCTGGATATAGAAATCCTTTGACTTCACTGCCTCTTCAATGGTACCATAGGGAACAGAGGGAGACCTAGAAACACATGGAGGAGAGATGTACAGGCAGAAATGACTGAGAATGGCCTCAACTGGCCTATGCCACTTATAGGAGCCATGGGCTTAAGTCAAGTAAGTTAGTCATTTGATTAGTCATGTTCAACAGTTTTGTGGTTTGTGTGGGAAAAATGTTGAGCCCATCCCCAACAGCCTGAAGAAACACCTGGTGGGAATAACAAGGTCCTTCTAGTTGAAGTGAACCACAACTAGGCTACTAACTAAACACTATGTAGGCAAGCCTCTCTCACTGGACAATGAGTTGACTCACTCCATTTTCTTAGAACACGGAGAACACCACTTGTGGCAAATGTTTCCCTAAGAATGCTGAGCTGAAAACCCATATGAGTATTCACTATGTGGATGGGACATTTCTGCTAG